ACTACCAAATTTGGTAAGATTTTAAACAACCAATTGATATGTATGATTCTCATTTTTTAAAAAATATTTAACATTTTTTAATGTTTCACTTCTTTTTTAGCTAATAATTATAAAGAAAATATGAAGATATTCACAGATAATGTTCGTTGTTCTGTTGGAGGAGGTATTGCGATGGAGCTTGGAAGTGTTGCAAGAGTAGAATTAAATGTAACAATGCCTTTATTATTTGTTAGGAGCGATGTATTGCGACAGTTTCAATTTGGTATTGGTGTACAGTACTTATGAACAAATTATATTTTGATATAGTAATTGTACATCTTGTGTCGATAGATACGATTAATTCCATTGTAATGTAATAATTGAACATTTAAACAAAACCTGATTTTAGTACAAGCAAAGCTTATGATTGGATATCGCTAATAGTCAATCAATTGTCTACATTGTAGACTAATAAAATATGTCACTTACTCTTGTCTTTTTGTTAAAGAAATCAAAATGAAATAAATATTTAAGGAGAAAGCTTTTTAACGAAAATAAAAACGATTTTTTTTTAAATAATTACATTATTTTTTATTTAAATAATTACATTGTTGAATAATAAATATATTTATTTCGTACGAACGTTGAATCATTATTTTGAATTTAGCGCCATTTTCTATGATTTGCTATATGATGTGAAGTTGTTGAGCTTGGTATTGTCAACCTCGTAGACCATAAATTGGAATACATTATTTCGAGATCATCTGTGAGATTTGATAGCTTCGTTTTATCAATACTTTTATTGGATAACAGATTTTAGCGGATTATATGCAGTTACGAAAAATCTCGAATTCGATTTGAATGATATTACAACAATATGTGTACCGATCCATTAAATAGAATATGTCATTGGGGACCATTAATTGCTTTAGGTATGTCTGCTATCGTTGATAGCTTTCTTAAATAAAGTTTCTTTTATGGCTATATAATAATTAGAATACTTAACAGATAAAAAGTAATATAGATTTATATACTTTCTAGACTATTTTACATGCTAAATAATTCATGGTATTCGTTGCAATGACAAAAATAATAGCCTCCGCCCCTTTCATTACAAACCTTTTTTCGCGGGAAATTCAAAATATTTCTATAAAAAATTATTAAAGATATTATATTTTTTTAGGAATCATAAAAATTATTACAATAATGACGATACATTGTACTACACAATGGTGGCCACCTGAAGAAAGTTTTTGGGCAACAATAAATTTTTGTTTATTTTTTGTCCTTAGTGGATGTACTCTTTTTCATTTCATCAGTGCAATTTCTGAGGGACCTGGTTTTTTACCTTTAAAATGGATGCCGGTAATATTATTTTATAATAATTAAAAAATTCAATTAAACATTATGATTAAAAGTGAATTTTGATTCTATTAGGAAAAAGCGTCAGATATCCAATTTTTGCAGTATTGTATCATTTGTCAAGGATATAAAGCGCCAAGATCTCATCATTGCAGGAAATGTAAGTTATTACTTATCAATAACAGAAAGAATTATTTGGCCTACAATTTGTCTTTTATCATTGTTTTAGGTAATCGTTGTGTTCTGAAAATGGATCACCATTGTCCATGGATAAACAACTGTGTTGGTCATCATAATCATGGGCATTTTACAGCATTTTTAGCAAGTGCAGTTGGTGGCTGTTGCATTTCCACCTTCATATTAATTTCTTGGGTTGCAACTGTATTATCATTCAAACCTATACCATTTCCACCACCCTCTTTTATTACTTTGGTTTTAGTTGTTTTCACCATCGGTTTATCAATTGGTGTGGTTTTTACAGTAGGAATGTTACTTTTCTTTCAAGTATGTGATCAAAATTTAAATAAGAAATGGATAGTTCATTATATTTATACTATTTATATTTTTACTAGATGATGGCTATTCTAAAAAACAAAACAGAAATAGAGGATTGGATATTAGAAAAAGCACGTTATCGTAGATTTGGTACTGATGAGAAATTCGTCTATCCATATTCAAAAGGATGGCTATTTAATATGAAACAAGTTTTTACATGGGATTGCTCTCCTGTAGGTGATGGTATACATTGGCCTGTGATTGATAGTTGTGATCAATTCACATTAACGGTAAAATATAATCTTCGTTTTAGTCAGTTTTAAGTATTGTTTATACCTGTAGAATACAAACGTTTTATTATAGAAAGAGCAATTAGCACAAAAAGTGGATAAACGGAAAAGGGCGCGTAAATACAGAATAATAGAACCTTCTTCTGGCTCATGGGTACCAATTCGATATGGTTGTGGTGTATTGTGTTATCCTCCTTATACAGATGAAACACGAATTAAATTAAACGTAGGAGATATTGTGATTGTTACTCGTTGGCGAAGGTATTGTTTTATTTGAGTCAAAATATTTTAACATTGAATTTTTCATTGATATAATTATTTCAAGTTAGAAGAATTTCGCAAATTAATTATTATAGATATTGGTTATTTGGACAAAAGGAGCAAGAGACTGTAAATGATGTTCCCATAAAACGAATACGAGGATGGTTCCCGCGACCCTGTGCAATTGAAATCATAGAAAACAATCAATATTCTTCTAAATCTAAGTCTGACTAAAATTTTATTTTAAAATGATGGTTCATTTAGACGTATAGCAAAACATAGAAAATAAGTAATTCTATATCTAACGTGTAATTGAAAAAGGCGATATCTGCAATTTTTTGACATTCAGATTTATTTATATCGTTGGATTCGACTTGTAAAACTCTATCAGATATTATAAAGAAAAGCAGTAAAAAAAATCCTATGAAATGTTATTCGGGAAAATTAAATACTGCTTTTACGTTTTTAGGATATTCTATGACGAAGAAAAGCAGTATTTATCAATAAAAGGAATAAAGGTAGTATTCTGTACGTTACTGCTTTATTTCGTTATATGCTACTGTAAAAAACTTGTCATACGATTTTTTTTAATAAGTATAAATACATCAATAATTTTAAAGGCTTTTTTCCAAGGTAATGGAAAATTCTCAAAACTTATAAAATTTTCTTAAAGATTTTATCTTTCGCAATTACACGATAGATGCATAGTATTATATTTTCAGTGGTGTGTCGTGTTCTTAGTTTGATAAATGAATATGCATCAATCATTAATATCATTTTAACAAAAAGTGAATAAGAATGCTCTATATGTGTTTATATCAAGATTTTATAATTTATATAAGTATATTTCGTAAAATATGAAATAATCAAACTCAGGTTTAAAACACATTATATATGTTCATGACATTTAATCCTTTAAATTAAATTACAGAAACATTCTTAGATTTAATTTAGTTTAAGTTAGATCTAATAGTTGAATGATTTTTATATAGATAGTAAATTATTATTTATATTTTATTAGATTACAAATGATGAGAATTTATGATATAAAAAATCATAGTAATTTTATTCATGTATATACAAAACTGTATCTAATTAAATGCTTCTCATCATACTTTTAGTTTAGCCATAACATGTGTTAGAATTATCATGCATGATCTCTAATTCCTATGACAATAAAAAATAAGATATATTCTCAGATATATTTTCAGTGAACTTTAAACGCTGTTCTCAGGGATATGAATTTTTCATGTAGGAATTAAATAGTTTTGATCATCAATTTGAACAAACGAGCAAATGTTAACGTAATGATAAATCTAATCTACATCAGACATAAACCCCCTTTTATTTGTCTTTTTATACATTATATATGATACACTGATTTTAAGTCTGTGATATTTTTGCTATTGCTATCTATTTGTATTGAGTTCAATGAGAAATATGTACATGTAAAAAGTGTTGTTATGTTGCTCATATATACACAGGTACTTATATTAAACTTAGTACATTTATATAACTTCGTTAATATTTACGTACAAAATCTTATTTATATATAATTTACAACGATAGACAAGAAAAGTACGATAATGTAATGTTACGTAGAATGATTTAAGAACAATGTAAAATTATTAAAAGTTATTCTGTAAAATTATTAAAAATCATATCACTTATAATTGCAGTCTGTCATTTTGTACAATAAGATTTAGCTTTTTTTATATGTGTATCTCTATGTGTGTGTATACACGTGCGTTTGTAATATTCTTTGTAATTATTTTCTATTAAATTATTTGATATACATACACACAGTTTAAAACACAATAGTATAAAATAAAAGAAAAATTACAAGAGGACCACAATATAATATAATATGTAATCAAGTTGTGCAATTGTATTTGTGATACGAGATTAATGTTATAATAAAAATAGAATATTGAAAGATCTGTATTAAATTCATTGTTATAGTTTTATATTGTTCTTTATTATCAACAATAAGAGCATTATATTTCTTTATCAGATAGAATTTTTCTTTAAAACTTTTGTATAACGCGATATGTTAATTCTTATGTAGAAGAATATTGTATTATACAACACATGATTGATGTATTGGAAAAGCATCTATGTGTGTCAATAACATAGCGTGACAATCAAACATCAAGCAAATTCTATGATGATGGGTGTGCAAATATAAATGAACAACACGGCGTGTGTGGCATTCAACAGTGAAAGGGTCAAATTAGCTTTTGCATTTAGAGAATTCTCTGCTCGAATGCGATATATATATATATATATATATATATATATATATATATATATGTATGTATGTAACAATTCGAACTATTACAAAAATATATATTTAATCGGAGAATATTATAATATTACGAAATATATATACTGAAATATCAGGAATATTATGCGAATCGTGTCATCTTATTTTTTAATTGTTAAATTAATTGCTTATTTTCGATTCAATTTTAACAGATTTATTCTATGTATATATCATTAATGAAGCAGATTGTCTGGTTATCGATAAAATTATTGATTTATATTTCCAAAAAATGATCAAAATGAAAGTATAAAATTTATTCTTAAATACTTTATACTTTCTATTTAATAGATGACTGACATTTGAAAAAGTAACTTTTTAATATATTTGAGTAAAAAAACAAAATAAAGCGATAAAATATTACAACAGCGAGAAAGGATCGAGTGAAAGTAACAATTCGCTAAAGCGGATTGAGACTTTGCCAATGAATGGTGGGATTCCAGTGACATTTGACTTACTCGCAAGAGATCGGTTATTGCAGTTTCTTTCGTACACCTCTCTGAGGAGGACCAACGAAATCAAGTGAAAGCAAGTTTTAGGATATTTCATTCCGATTTAAAACTAATTAAAAAGTAAGCGTCTAATCAATGACGATCATTCTAAATCGGTAAAGTTAAGTGAGCTTCTTTTAATATTCTATTCCATTCGTCTATAACTTTGAATTATTAATAAAAAAAAAGGATCACATCTATTTTTAATATAATAAATCTTAATTGTTTGCAAAGGCCACAAGGATCTTCCAAAGATGAGTTGGTTTAGGAATCTTGTATTCACGATATCAACAATTGCCCTCTCTTTGGTCCCCGTTTTCGGTTTTCCTGATGGTGCACCAGTAGATGCATGTGTCAAACCACGACCGAATCAACCCTATCACGGGGAAGCACGTAGTCAACCCTTGAATAAAAACCCTTATACGTTAGTAGCCTCGTCATCTGAATACATTCCAGGATCGCAAATTACCGGTATGTAATAAATATTACATTCACGATTTTCGTGCAATTTCTAATCATGAAGGAAATATATAAAATTTTTCACGATTAATCTCGAAGCATAGTGCTCTCATATTTTATTATATTAATTATAACGCGCGATATAAAATCGATATTTATGATAAATCAAAGTTACTTTTTTCGAAACAAATCTTTGTGTCTATTTGATAAGAAATATTTAAAATGATGTATAAAGTTACTTACAGAAATATGAGAAGCTCACTTTATCGTAGAAAAGAAGAATTTCAAACTCTCTTTATGAAAAGAATACTTTAGAGAAAGGGAAGATACAGCGAACGTTATTTTCGCTCCATTGTGCTCTTAACTACTTGCATTAGCGAGCTCGCTAATCGATTTTAAGAAACGATGGCAAGTAGCATTAATGTGTACGTGAGAGAACATGCAACGTTGACACTTCTCTCTTCATAGTGCAGATCAGTCGATCTTACACTTTTCAGCTTACTATAGTATTGCATTTCACTTGGAATAATTACTTTTATCCCTTAATCTTTAAGATCGAAGAAACTATCATAAAATATACAATAATTTCGTCATACTTTCATTTAATTACTTTTTGATTTCAGTAACTATTAGTGGTTCATCTTTCAAAGGATTTTTCTTACAAGCACGCGATTCTAATACCAATAGCTGGATTGGTTCTTGGGCACAAACTCCAAATACAAACACCCATCCTGAATGCAGTGCTGTAACGCATGCAGATCCACGTGAAAAACAACAGGCTACTCTTATTTGGAATGCACCACCAAATACTCGAGGCCAGGTTTATTTTACGTGAGTACTTCGATACAATTTTTCTTCGTTCAATGAAAAAATGCTAACAATTATAACTATTTTCGAAATGTAACTAATGAAGAAATGATTCTCGAATTAATCAGTATATTAGAATACACCGAAAGAAAAATTATAAAATTTCTTGTTAATTAACGAAGATTTACGTAAGATTTCTAAAGCTCATGGGATTACGTTTTCTCATATGATTTTTTTTCATAAAGTATTTTTTCATTATCAAAAGTAACTCGGAGATTGAATAAGATTGAGTCCGAACACCATAAGCCAGATTAACTCTTAACAATAGATCTTTTTCTAGTATAATACATTAGCTTCTTATTATAATACGAAATTACGTTAAATTTAAAATTAGAATTTTAATTTTTAAAATTTTAATTTTAATAATTAATTATCTTAATAAAAGAATTTTAATTTTAAAAAAAGTAATCTTAATTAATTTTACTGAAATTGTATTTAAAAAAAAAATACAATTTATTTTTTTTTTTTTTTTAGAGATGATCTATTTCTAAAAGTAAAACGAAATTATTTGTAAATTCGCTAAAAATTTTTATAAGGTAAAAGAAAATGAATTATCTATGCCTATGGAGTAGCTCACTTCGTTTCCTAAGTGTAAAGTTTGTTGGCTCGGCAAGTAGCAATATCTATGTAGAAGCAGCCGCCAGTAGTTGGACTTAACATTGAAAGATATAGACTCGTAAATAGTAGTAATGGCGATTATGATCAGACGCAATGGAGAAGAACAATCGATGTTTTCCGTTCTTCACGATAATTTTATCCATCTGTATAAAATCGAAAAATTTGTGACTCCATAGGACAAGCTAAATTTGTCAATCCTCTTCGAAGAACGACAAGTATATTATTTATTAGGAACGTAAAGAGAGAGAGAGAGAAAAAGAGAGAGAGAGAGAGAGAGAGAGAGAGAGATGGATGTTAGTTCCACTCACTTCGTCTTCTACTGCGTGATCAAAGATCTTATGATGACGTTATATATGTATAACGGGTATCCCGTTTTAAATGATATGGTCAAATATCTCTTGTCCTATTGGTTCTATAAGTGAACGTTTTAAATAAAAGATGCTAAGTTTTAGGAAAGAAATATAATTTATTGCAACTATTTCGTGAAAGGCATTGCAGTCCAGATACGGAACTTTTAACTATTTTTTAAAAATAGTATTCAATATTTTAAGCCGAACAAAATATGCGAACATCTACAGTGTATTTTTTTATTGATATTTCATCGAGTTATGGATTTTAACAAACTGTCTAATCGCAATAACGCGATCAATTCTCTTGTAAACATCTGATAATCATACATTTTTAAAGTTGTAATCATTTAAAGTGCGGTATCCTTTAACATTTATAAAGAACATTATATATATTATGGTTACACAGTTTGGAACACCCGGTATAAAAGCGTTTAGAAAGTCTACTATATTCGTACATATAATTAACATACCAATAACACGACATACATAGATTGAGTTAACGCAATAACATGATCACGAGAAGTCGTGGTATTTCTCTCTCTTTCTCTCTCTCTCTCTCTTTCTTCTGGTTTTTAATTAATTTCCTTTTTTTGGTAATTACATTACATCATTTTGAATCGACTTTATCTCTCTACTTTATTAAAAATCGCGAAATTAATAATAATATAAAACGACAATGTGAACATTAAATTTATTATGTGATAATTTAGTGAATTATTTTTATCAACATAATACAATGATATCTATGTGTACGTCGATTGTATGTTGCTCGTCACTAAAATTAATTAATTTTACTACACCAACGATTGTAAATGGAGATAGCTGAACACGTTTACCGTTTCAGAAACGCTTCGCAGAACTTACAAACGATCCTGCAAATTTTCATCCTACATTACGGGGCTTAGAAAGTTTAGTCGGTGAACCGAAAGCTACCGGTCGAATTATTTCGCCAGTAGGATAGATCTCGGCATTTTGGATTCAATAGAAATTGAATAGTTCGTTTATCTGTGAAATCAATGGAAATACATTTGGCATAGATGAAATCAAAATGAATAAAACGAGAGATAATTGTATATTAATAGATATAGATATATAAAACCTTCTTCTTTCTCTTCTTTAATTTGATTTTTTTTTCAGTGGTACTGTTTTAAAAGAATACGCGATATTTTGGTCGGATTTGGTTGCACGTGTAGTCCAATGAAAAAAAAAGAAGGAAAAAATTCAATGCAAGTATAATATATGTATGTATATTCATATAAATATGTAATTGATTATTGTTTTTTAGTAAAGATCGATATTAACAATATTTTTTCATTTTTAGGATTTAACACGTAATAATACTCATATTTTGATAATTTCGGAAAGAAAAATGTCGTTTATGGTGATATTGTATAATAACGTCTATGGTGATATTGTATCGATGCAAGATAATCGATATTAAAATCAATTAATATTTATCGAAGTATTCTACACTATTATTCAATTTTTTTATTCTACTTTTTTATTCAATTCTTTAATAAACTAATGATTTTAATAAAAAGAACTATTAAAATGATTATCGACAGTAAGTATATCATCGTTTCAGAACAAAGTTACATAAGACCCATTAAATTCTTTCTAAGACACGCAGTATTGATAAACGATGCAGATATATTATCTTCCAGCAGACGATGTTGCGTAAAAATTGATCGATCAAATGCCAAAGATAATTAAATGAACTCCCATGGGTAACTTATTGATGAAATATTGTTCCTGGTGATTCAACGTCAACAAGATCTAATGTGATCTTTGTTAGAAAAAAGTCGAAGACTAGTCAAGAAGGTTTTTGCTTTGGTTTCGTTAAAAAAGACTAAAAAAGATATATATGTATGTTTGTGTGTGTATGTCTATAAAGATAAAATAGCCTGGAGATACGACTACGATGTATGGCAAAGGTATTCGACTCGATTAAAATTGCACAACGATCGATCGAGGAAGGTGATTTTAGCTTGATTCCTTTCGCCATTAACGCACAAACTCGTTGGACTTCATGCTGTGAAGTAGATTGGCAATATGAACTTATTGTTAGTTGCTCGTCGAAAAGGGTTTCACTGTTCGGTTCTCGTTAATGGAAGGATCGAGGAGGTTGCGTATTGCGTAAGATCTCAGCGGTAAGTAAAAGTGTGTCCTACTTCAGATAAAGAGAAAGAGAGAGAGAGAGAGAGAGAGAGAGAGAGAGAGAAAGAGAAAGAGAGGAAAAGAGAATTATGACGTTAAAAACTAGTCGTTCCTTCTACGCAACAACGAATTCTCAAAAAAGTTTCCTCGTTTTCGTAATACCAAAACAACATTCCTCCGCTCGATTTATTCGGTTCTTCGGAAAGTAATTTCGTTTTTCCCCAACAGAAGAATTAGTTGTATTTTTAAGCAGCTAACTTCAAACAAGGAAGAAGTTATGTGGCGTGTATGGAAATGTCTTAGTAAAACGCCAGTTCCAAAACTGGTTTGTAAAATTTCATTCCGGCAATTTTGATATTGAAACTGATAAAGACAAAATAAAGCAAATCGACAAATAATAACACGAGAAATCGCTACAAGATTAAATTTATCGAATTCGACCGTTTATGATTACGTGAAATGACTTGGTTTCCTTTCGAAGCTCGATATATGAGTTTCACATATTCTTAAAAAAGTGATTTGCTCGTATTAACATCTGTGAATTGCTTCTCAAGCGTCAAGAAAATTATCCATTTCTAAAGTGAATCATAATTGGAGCAGAAGAAATGAGCTCGCTCAAAGCACTCCGAAAACCGGTACTCATAAAAAGTGATACTTTCTGTTTGGTAAGATTTTAAGTGAATTGTTTTCTTTAAACTTCTATCTAATAATTCCACAATTAATTCGGAAATGTACTACCATCGACTGGAAAAGTTGAGTAATTTCATTAAACAAAATATGCTAGAATTAATTAACAGAAAAGGTATAATGTTTCATCACGATAATGCCTGACCGCACAAAAGTTAGGTAACCCGTCAGAAGATATAATTTGGATGGGATATGCTACCACATCCACCATATTCGCTAGATCTGGGCATCCTCGAATTATTACTTATTTCAGTCTTTAAAAAATTTCTTAAATGATAAAACATTCACTTCAAATGAGAATGTCAAAATTTACTTTGATTAGTGTTTTGTAAGTAAAGATCAAAAGTTTTATGAGCGTGGAATTATGTTACTACTGCTAGAAAAATGGTAAAAGGTATTGGATCAAAATGATCAATATACAATTCAATAAAATATTTATATATTATAAGAAAATTATTTTTCATTTTCACGAAAAAAAAAACGAAATTACTTTCTGAACAATCCAATACATTGCTACAACGAGTCACAACATTTTCTCACAGACACTATCTATTGTAAATTGAATCATTAGATTATAACCGATCGTTGGGGAGATCAATGTTCAGCAATACCTTTAACTATAGATAATTCATTTTCTTTTTCACGATGCACATCGAATTTTGCATAGATAGTGTATCCATACTTGAAATAAGAGTTAACAATCAGGAGCACGATTTGCCCATGCATGAGGACATCAATTATTACTATAGTAGAAAGAATAGGGTAAAAGAATAATTTTCTACAAGTCCCAAAAGAGGATAAGAGCGAATGGCCAAGATTTTAGACAAGCTATGAGCGCGCGCATCCACGAAAAGAAAGAAAGAAAAAAAAAAAGGAGAGAGATAAAAAGAGTAAATCGATTTTTAAGAAATTTTAGTCCAATACGATCGGTCATATCTTGTCTGTAAACGATCATTGTCCAAGAAATGAGTCAGAAAATCAATGGAAAAGTTAGAGGCTGGTGGTAGTTTAGAAAAGCTCGAAGAAGAAGAGGCGAAGGTCGGTAGTGGTAAGTTTGTAAAGGAGAGGGAATGTATAGGAAAAACAGCAGCAGCAACGCCATATCAGCGTGCCCGTCGCAGCGAATAACGAAAAGCGATAGAGTCAGTGTTGTATTGCGCAGGACACCGACGTTCTGGCGTCCCGGCGTCGCGACGTCCACACCTTCGGCGTCAGTGGTAGTGACGGTCGTTGCGTGCGCCTTACTCGGTCATACACCGACACTCACATCGTCTAGTCGTGCTACTTAAGCATACAGCAGTGGCGCACACACGTGAGATCTTCTGGCGGGTTGTCGTTGAATCTTCGACTAGACAAAGAAGAAAAAGAAGAAGAAAAAAAACAGCTGTCTTTGTCACCCTCTGTGGACGTTTCTCTTTTTCTCTCTATCTTCCTCTCATTCTGTTTTCACCCGTTGGTGTAGTTCAAAGGGAGGGAAAAAGAAGAAAAAAGAAGAAAGTAACAAAGAGGCGAATGTGTAAGAGGAAGAAGAAAGAAAGGGTTGATTGGTGAGAAGGAGGGTGAGTGGAAAGAAGGATAGGAGGGAGGGAAGAAAACGTAACGGAGGGAGAAAAGGTAGCACAAATAGCAAGTGGGGATAGAATTTTCGTTCGGAGCAGTATCAGTCGGCTCTCGCGGCGTCAGTTAGAAAGAATGCGCATGATCGATTGCACGCGCTCTGATCGGTCGGAGATGTGATACCGGAAGTAGATACGGCGGTCTTAACCTGCGTCGCGTGCAGGTGCGGCCGCGGGTGCGTATTACGAAAGGCGCGTAGGGAGCAGGTGCGAGGGTGTAAGTACCGCAGGGCTTGAAAGAAAGAAAAAAAAGAGAGAGAACGAGCGTGTGTGTGTGAGAGAGAGAAGGAACGAGTGCGTGTGCGTGTGGGTGCGAGTGTGCGTGTGTGTGTGTGTGAGTGTGAGTGTGTGCATGTGAGTGCGTATATATATATATATGAGAGAGAGAGAGAGAGAGAGAGAGAGAGAGAGAGAGAGAGAGAGAGAGAGAGAGAGAGAGAGAGAGAAAGAGAGAGAGAGAGAGAAAGAGTAAAGAGTACTGCGTGAAGTGTCACCCTTGAAGGATAGAGAGAAACAGAGGGTGGCAAAAGAAGGAGAAAGAGATGACAATACGTTCGAGCGTTGGTAAATCGTCGTCACCAAGTGAAACGGCTATGACGTCGATCTTCTCTTCGTCTTACATCAGGAATTTAAATATGCATCTGATCTGCGCCATTGCCTTTTGCTTCTTAATTGCCCTCGACCGGCCGGCCTTTGGCCAACCAGATCCACCTGAATCGACCACCATCGAAGGTAAGTTCATAGTTTCAGTTTCGTTCATTGACCACCTTTTCATTTTTTGACTACCTATTTTCTTCTATTTAAATATTTTTTTTTTTATCATTGTTGATGCTTATTATGATGTTGTCGAGCGCCCCTGAAACGTCGAAGTTCATGAGAGGTCTTATTTTGAGACGTTATTTATATAATTTTTTCCTTAGATTAGGTTTATTTACTTAATAAATTCATCAGTTTGTATCAGCTACATATGTATTTTGCGATGTTTCATCATGTTTTCAATCAACATTTGCCTCATAAGTTGCGAAGAAAAAAAATTGTGTCATCTTATATCATAAACATTATTTTTGTTTATTTCTTTATTCTTTTTTATTTCTTTATTTTTTGTTTATTTCTTTTTTATTTTTTGTTTTTTTATTTTTCTTTTCTATTATGTGCCATTTTAAAAATTCACGAGAATTAACACGAAAAAGCTTTTAACCGATAACCCTAAGTAATTTTCCGAGAAGATATATGGTACATCACGATATTGTGTCCAATCTTCAATTTACGATAGCTTTGTTTAATCATACTGAAAGAGACACGATTTTATTCGTTCGTAGGATGAAATAAATTAACTCATGTAACATTTGTACGTTCGCATGACACGCAGCAGCGAGTAAACTCAGTAGGTTTTTTTTGATTGATTTGCGTGCGAAAGCAACGTATGTGCACCAAAATGGGGTCGTGCTTCTCTTCTACTTGTAGCGGCTTTATATTTTCGTGCGTGTAAATAGTAACACACAGAGAGAGAGAGAGAGAGAGAGAGAGAGAGAAAGAGAGAGAAAAAGTAACTTTCGATCCCTTGATATGCTTTTGTTTTCTTTATCCTTACGATAAATCAAATTTCATTTTCTTTTTTTTTTCTTTTTTAATAATGGAAAGATTAAGTTGATTAGATACTAACACATTGAAATATATATATATATATATATATATGTATATATATATATATATATTTATATATTTCAAATATATATATCTTCAGAAATTATTTTTTAGATATGAAATTTATTCGTTCGTTATTCTTTGGAAATCAAAAAGCTTTATGTCCATTAAATGATGAAATGTATTCCGAGTGGGCTTCACCAAGGATTACTTTAAATAACTGAAAGCTATTCGTTAAAATTTACTTTGATTTCGTGTTGCTCGTAAAAGTTTGTCTTCGTTAGTGATCATTTAACAGAACGGCCATTTATAAGAATAGATATATACGTGAGCTCTTTCAAATGATAGATGTATATTTCGTTTGTACGCTCTAAGAATGATATTTTGTATTATTTTATCATACTACTTCGATATCGACAGTGGCCTCGTGCCAAGTCAACACTAAACAAAACTTCTATAGAACGTAGCTCGAGTTGATACATACATATGTTGAAACAAGAGCAGCAGGTAGGAGAATCCTATTCAACGAAATAACTTTGCGAAGGCCATAAATGAATAAGTAGTGTATCGTGGCTCGAATATATATCGCAAATTTCTCTTAGGAATTACAATATAAATTACGCATTATGAGAGTAATCCTGCAATCCTGCAATCGTTGAAGTTTTATTATATACTTGAAAATCTCTTTCGAAGCGTGTCAAAGTGTAATTTTCTTATACTCGAAAATAAAAATGTATATAGACACTCGTCGATATAATTATTCGTTAACATTATGAATTTATTTTCTATAAGGTCGAGAACATCGTCTTTGATAAATCTCGGAATAAAATTTGATCTTAAAACGTATATAATAATAAGTCGTAGTCGTCGTTAAAATCTTTTATTTACCTTCTTGAGATTCCTTTGAAGAGGTAAACTGAAAAGCACGTAATCAAAGAGACCGCTTATTAGTCGAAAGAGACGATACAATGGAAACGAAGCTTTCGAGAGAATTAACTAATTAAATTATTTTACTTTATGCTAACGATCTTGATTTCTCGAGACGATACAAATGTAGTTTGTTTATCGTTACAATGAGTCAACATATTTTTTTTTTTCTTATCTTTTTTCTTTTTTACCTTTTTAACGCTGTCACGAGTATATTCTTATGAGTCACTCGAAACATCACGATATATGCCACGAATTTTCTCTGAATCAAATTACATCTACATACGTAACTTTCGTAATGTTCGTGCGTGTTGGGTTTACCTTGGCGAGGACCGTCGACTTCGTTTCGTGTCTCTACAGTCAGATGATCGATAAAAGAAATATTGTATTATGAACTCGTGTACGGTGTTCGTGCTTGTAAATTTCTTCTACAACGTAAATATGGAATAACCCTGCTGATCAGATAGTTTTATCGATTTTTTGTACATACATTTTTTTACGTGAAAGATCTTTTTTCTTAACCATCGATCGATTTCACATTGAACAACATTTTTCTTCATACTTTTATATTATTTCTTGATTTTCCATTTAATTTTTCTATCATTGGCGATAAATTTCATTGAATGATGTATATATGTCAATATTAAACAAACATACGTTAAATATATGAAACAAAAAAATCCTTGGGATATTTTAATTATCGGTAGATATACGTTTCAAAAAATTACACGGACTTTGTCTAGCTTTTTTATAAAATGATACTTGATAATCAAAATACATCCTAAGGCAAAATAAATATCGTGGATTCATCTCTTTGTTGATTCCCGTTATACGTGGAAATATAGCACGAACAAAAACTTTGATTATTTTGATTGAGAATGAAAAAGAAATTTGAAGATCGAATATCTACTTATCAATACAACAGAAAATATTCTAATAAAAATATTCTTTAATCGACAAAGTCTCGTAAAAAATTAAAATAGTGCATAGATCAATATTTAAACAAAATACTTATATATACGTTCTTGTCACGCGCGAATATTTTTGTTGTACGCTATGTTTTCTAACACGGCAGTATTAATCGTTGATCGTTGAGTCCACATAATTAATTTCCAATAATATATTATAAGCCAGGAAAAAAAAGTTAAACATATTATAAGGACGATTAAAATAAGGACGATTATTAAAAGCGAAAGAGGTTATCGAAGTCTCTCTGGGTTCTTTTGCTCAACTTTTTATCATGAATAAGTACTGAATAACGCTAGTAGACTAAGAACTTTGCTCTACTTTTAAAGAAGTCATTGCTGACAATATGCTATTCACGTTTCATCTGTTAGCGGCTTTGTGCGACTAATCCAGAAAAAAGTTTACGTTTATTGACATTCTTTATCTTTATTTGATATACTTTTCGTTATTTTTTTTTTCTTTTTTATGTAATTCATTTTTTATAAATTCCCTTTTTTGTAAAAGATTTTATCTATCCGTTACGTATTTTCATTTGAATAAAACAATTTCATTTTGCGCCAAGCAAATGTATTATTATTTTGTTTCCTCATTGTGTTTCTTTTTCAGTGTCTTCTTTTGTTCTCGTAATGAGAAAGTAGGGGGTGAACGAACGGTCGATGTGCATTCAACATAACGTTACTGCAGTCTGCACTGCAGATGCACGTGTACCTAACTTTTTCTAAAGCGTGCAAGTGATTCAAACTCGAGGAAATGTTCTCCTTCTTTTCGTTTCAAAATTTTCCTCTTTGAAAAAAACATAAATTTTTATATATTTGTTTGTGAACGCAATAAATGTTCACGATAAGCGTAATTATATTTCTGGCTTATGAAAAAAATTATTATACATTTATGTGGTAACGTTAAACGTGAGTTTTAATTAAAATGTACTTTCCATTTTTAAATTAACGATTTGCAATTTCCAATTTGTTAAATTTCATGTATTCAACAAAATATAAAACTACTGATCGAACAATATAAATGAAGTTCGTTAACTTTTAGTATTTCAAATTATTATTTGTCGTCGAATAAATATGACCCTATGCATAAATATGACCCTGACGCATAACGCGACGTAGTATTTTTTTTTCGATAAAATCTAGAATTTAACTACATCGATTTGTGTATATTCCAGATAAAAAAATTTCTATATCAATATTTCGATGTTCTTTTTTTCCATTTGAATTAATTTCATTTCGATTATTAAAGAAAATAAATTCCGATCTATTTCAATTTACAAGTAAAATATCAATATTCAGCAAACAAACGAAACGAGAAAAGGATTTTATCTCATCGAAAAGTACACGACTATCTGTTGCTTAAAATTGTCAATAGGCCAATCGTTTTAAAGTAGAAATACTCTATATTAAAGCTCTTGTATCTCAACGATTTAACATTATTCCTTGAATTATACATGCAAATTATACGATCGCAGTAGAATTAATTTTTTATATAGGCTCTCTATTGTATAGTTCGAAAAATATCTCCATAGATCGTCTGGAAATGAAAGGAAACATAACGTAGGTCGTTACAGCACATACATACATCGTTGGCAGTATTTTATGACGTGACGTGCTATGGTACTTTGCAAAAAAAGGGCTCTCGAGAGAAAGAAAATATTTGCGCTGTCATCGTCCGTTAGTGATGCTCAATACATATAGGCCTCATACAGAGCTCCAAGAACTTCATTCAAAAAGGTATTTCCGTCAGAGAGATATGCACACGGTCAATAAAAATACATTCTTATTCTTAATCAAAATAAAATGAACAAATTTCAAGATATTCCATCTTAAACTGAATTTAATTTAGGAACAGAAAATTCGGTTATATTATATCCTATAAATTTCGTAAGATTACCTATAATATCGTTAAACGACGCGTTGAGGTTGAATTCCGCAAACACTCCTAATTTGGCTCGTATCGTCGTTGTTCACCTTTAATTAGAATCTACTCGTGTGCAAGGCTGTAACCCGTAGAAACTCAAACAATCCAAACGATTTTCATATTACAGTTAAGATATATATATATCTTTTATATATATATGTATATATATATATATATATACTTTTTTATCATGAAACAATTACTCTGCATTATTTACGTTCGAGTGTAGATTATTAAATATCGACGATAGCTGCTTCCCGTTTCTCTTAATAAATCCGAGAAATTATTTTTTCATGTTACATTATTTATCATGTAGCTAATCTGTACTTAGTACCAAATATTCCCCGTACATTTGTAGACATTATATATATATATATATATATATATATATATATATATATATACATTTAAACATAAATAGATAGCTATATATTTTTATATGTACCATTAAAGAATATCTGTGTCAACGAGGATATTATTGGGAATTTCGAGAAACAAAGATTTAACGATATGATAAAAAAAGAAAAGAAAAAAGAAAGGAGAAAGGAAAAGAGAGAGAGAGAGAAAGAGAGAGAGAGAGAGAGAGAGAGAGAGAGAGAGAGAGAGAAAGGGTGGTAGTGTCGTAATCGGGGAACGGTTGCGTGCCGTGAAACCGGCAATTTCTTGCGATAGCTCGTGGTTGCACGCAATTTTTTAGCAGTCAAGCGTACTTTTTATCATTACCGTTATTATGCGTCCTTCTCATATGTATCGACAGGGTGCACCAGTTTTGCGTTCGTTAAGATAAATCATAAAGAAAAATCGATTGATTAATTACTTTGCCTATCTATTGTTGCTTCTATTCAGTTTGAAAGAACTACGAATGACACTTCGGATAAATAGTAAACTTTTAACGTTCACCTTTTTCATTAGTTTATAAATAATATTTTCTCAATGATCGAAACAACGAGCTAGATCGTTCTTGTCACCTAACTTCTACGAAGTTTAATTACGTTAAAAATCGGATTGTAGATTCATTGAACCGTTAAATGTCATTCCTACAAAGGCCTCTAATACATAGCATTCTTTTAGTACGTGCCAACTCTGAGAAAACGACCATTCGATGCTTCTTTTCATTTGAATACTTTTTCTCTCTGAGGAGTCATAACTCGCACTCAAGACGTCACTAGCAGAAACGTTATGGCCACAAAGGTCTTTAATTTCACAATTCACTCGTTTCGATGAATATCGTTCCAGAAAGAGAACGAGAATTTTATTCTAGTAATGTTTGATAAATATCTGCTTAAAAGCTCGAATGGAAACATAAAATTAATCGTTTTCCATGAAATGTATACTAGCGAAAAGAATATTTTCCAATAAAAATACAAATTTAAAAACAAATAATTCATAAATTTAAACAGTATTGTTAACAAGAAGATTAATGAAACACCCTAATAACAAAGATATTGTCAAAAAAATGTCGAGCGTTTAATGAAGATTAGTGGAACTAACATCGGTTAGTTTTTCGCGTGTTAGTAAACTATAAAGCTATCAAGCTTTATATATCTGTCTCGTTATCACGTAATCTACGAATATCTATATACGATCGCTTAATACTCTTTCCTCATGCGGTGTACTCTCTCTTGATTGGGAACATTGATTTTGAACGGACTGTGAAAAGAAAGAACATATTTCATAATTCTCTTCCTTCCGTTAAAATAAAAGGTTCGAAAAGCGAAAGTCATAATATAAATTAATTTAATCGAGTCCAGTATCGTATAATAATCTAATATTGTTAGATGTGAAAGATAAATGATACGAGAAGCTCGAGGTGTTCGTTAATTACTTAAACATATCAACAACCAATGATCGATTTCTATATAAATTCATCGGAAAAAAAAGACAAGTTATTTGAAAATGAACATTAAATGAACGAATCCACATGCGTGTGTACGCACGAAGCTTTCAAGCTCGCGTTCATTCAAAAAAGTTTCGAAAGTCACACTGCGGCAGAAACAGAAACGACTCATGCTAGCAAGATCACTGGCAAATTGCCATGCCGAAATGACCCACTTTTAACGCCTAGTAGATTGACCCATGCACGTCGCCATTTTTTACTTCCACTCACGAAATCTACGTTCACGACGACTATCTACAATGTTTTCTTTCTTTCTTCGAGTAGAACTAACAAAGGCTTACTAATCAACGGAACAATTATGCACAATTCTTTCTAATCGTTCCTTAAGCGATACTTTCATGCGAAACATTGTAACTACTGCGAACTTCCTGTATACTATACTATCGTTTATCATTTGAATAAATCAAGTGAATTTCAGAAAATTTATCAATTTAGATCAACTAAAATTTTTAACACTAAATTTATGTATCTACTGTTACATTAACATGCAATTTTTTTTGGTTATCACTTTATCAATCATATATTTTACTAAATTCATGTTATATTACATAAATTGCCATATGTAAATTATTTATGAGTTCTATAATTTTAAGCATAAAATCTAAAAATCTGCCAAATTTGAATAAATAAATCCAATATTAATTGATTAATAATTTTAATTATTAACGTTTATTGACATAATTTTTTTCACAGATTCTTAATTAATTTCGTAATAATGCGCGAACTGCGACTATCGATTTTCTCTGAGACCTTAGCTCGTGTGCACACGGAAGTCGGCCTTACCTGAGTCATGTACGAGAAGACGAGATTCATGTTCGACTACCATTCGAATATAATTCTTATGCAATTCACATTAAAAGGGATACAATTAGTTTTACTTTTGTTACAATTACGATTAGCTTTGCCAATATACATAGATCATTCAAAGGTCGTTTATTTAAATATTCGAAGAATATCAACGTATATTGTAAAACTTTAAATCGTTGACAGGAAATTTCCTCTTTAATTTCGTCCTACATATATTCCCTCTTTTGATCGTGACTTTTGCTTTTATTTTGAGACAAAAAAGTTAAATAATTGTAAAATCGCGTGATGTCTTAAATATCAAATAGTTGTCGTTGTAGGATAGAAAATTTGTATGTCAATTTGTATTAATTATTTTGAAATCAAGCTTTTCTTTATTTCCAAAGAATAGGAAAAGCTACGAAGTTGATGGTTAAAAAATGAGAGTCAAGAGAGGTTTGCGCTCGAGTCTTCTTCGGTAAAAAAAGATTCTAGAAGTAGGACATCCTGAAACTGAAAGCCGAGCGCGATGTAAATAAAGTCATAGGTCGATAACTTCGTCGAGTAAGATTGACCCTTCGACGAAACCTTATAGATTAATGTTTTGCCTGTGGACCTTCCATTAATTTATCTATTCGTCTAAAGGATATATTTAACTGTTCGACGAAACGACCATTACTAAGCAAAGTTGCAACGTAAGGATATTTATAATAAGTTATTTTTAAATCGACTAACGTGTTAAAAGACAGCCGATTATCGAGCACCAATTTATGAAAAATGCAATATTCTTATATAGCGTTAAAATAGTCGTCCTATGATGGAAATTAAGTAGAAATATTTCCATGGAAAAATTGTGTCTCTCTCTCTCTCTCTCTCTCTCCCTCTCTCTCTCTCTCTCTCTCTATATATATATATATATATATATATATATATCTTTCTTGAAAATTTCCGACGTTTAGTGCAATGTATATGCCATTATTGTTTATATTAAAATAAAAGAAAAGTTTCATATCTTTTCTTTGATTATATTGATTTAAATGTAAAAAATTTTCTAAAACGAAGGCACCATTATTTTTCAGAGTTAGTAGGGTTAGTTACAGATTCCTTTCACACTGTTAATGATTCACTGAAATGAGGAAGTAAGTAAATATCTGTCGAAATCACAAGAAAGAGAGTATTTACCATTTCAAATCATAATGCGATAGTATTCGAACAGAATACTAACAACTACAAATAGTATTCATCCATTATGCAGCAACAATGAAACAATCAGGCAGGATCATTTTGCCTTGCAAAGGATTGCTTTCTTAGCTCTGTTAATCGTAATGCTTTTATTATTGTTAGATCAGCTGCTTTTATTCTACTATTTAATGAGTATGTATGTATTATATTTAATCGTTTTTAAATTATACCTACGAACATTACATTAACATTTTAATATTTCTGTTTAGATCGAGGTAATAAGAAATTTGGCGACAATTGCGAAGCTGACCGCGATTGTGGCTTTGATGGATCTTATTGTGAAGCGAAGAAGAATATATGCACCTGTAAAGAAGAATTTAAAGTTACGAATCATATTGACAAATGTGGACACCGTAAGTTAGTATATGTTTAACCGTGTCAGTAAAGAAAGACTCTTTTGATAGAGGCCTTTGATTATGCACGTCACAAATTTACAAATATCGATTGGATATTATTTTTGTCGATTGAAATTCTTCAATTTTTCATAATCGTATAAATATATAACAATTTCAGATTTGTTTAAAAAATTTCTTTCTCTTACTCTCTCTCTTTCTCTTTCTCTCTCTCTCTCTCTCTCTCTCTCTCTCTCTCTCTCTTTTCCTTTTTGTTCTTTACCCTTCTATATGCACTAATTACAACACGTGCTTCCAATATCTCGATAATAGATGAACCAAATATAATCTCTCCATCAGTGACACAGCGCATTACCGATTACCTTGCCCAATCTCGATGCCACTAGGGCATCAAACTATTGGATGATAATTGATCGTTGTATCATGAGCATCTTTTGATGCAATGCCACTCTTTTGTTTGTCCGTAATAAAAAAATAAGTACCTTTAAAAAAGAAAGGAGGATACATAATATATAGAGACGTTAGTGATTTCGTTAATGCACGTTGCATCATTTGCTCTTTCGAACAAAAATATTGTCATTCCAAAGGAAGAAAAGATCTCTTTATTTCGTTTTCAAAAATTTGCAAATATATCGAATAATTTATCAAATCTGTCATAAAGTATTATTTTCGATTCTATTAATGAAGAAAAGTTTTCTTAATAAAGTTTATTTTGCAAAATTTTATTCTACCATGCTGGAAAAATCATTTCAAAGTAATAAATATATAATATATATAAACATATATATATATATATGTACATAGGTAACTAATTATGATTATTTTGAAAAATGTTTCGATGTTAAACCGTCAATATCGATGTGAAATCCATACTTATGTATATATATTTTCAGATATTGAAATATTAAACTTTAAAAATAATAATCTCAGCGAACGACTTATACGTTTGTGATGAATCAAATGTTTTTAGATTAAAAATTAAACAATAGGAAAAAGTTTGTATAAGTATTAGCTTTCATTGTGATTCTTTGATATTCTTTTTCTCCGAGCACAGAGATGACCTTTATAAATAATAGAAACCATCCGTCGTTCATAAGAAAAAAATAGGAAATCTGACGAAACTATTTTTCAGCGGCGAACGTTAACGAGAGCTGCTTCTTTCACGAACAATGCGAGGCACGAGTGAGCCAAACAGAGTGCAGGGACGGTCGATGCATTTGCATCTTCGAGAAAATTCCGGTGACGCAGCCCAACGGTGTCATAGTTTGCATTGGTAAGGATGAAAACGATGGTTCTTCTTTAAAATGAGAAAAAGAAGCTCTTTATTGGAATTGTACTGGCATATGTGGCATACCGTTTAAAGTTATTAAAAGAATGTCTTTAATAAAGTACGTTACAGAACATTAATTAAATAAATTCTTTGACGTTTTTAGCGGAGCACAAAGAACCACCCAGTTTGCAATATGTGGACCCAGCGATGATCGGAGTTCTCGTTGGCATGGCATTGATGTTTATCATTATATGCGTCGTTCTTAGACTTTTCAGCAAGTAAGTTGAAAATGATGAAACTATTTGAAAATGATGAAACTATAATTTTGTCCTACTTGAATTGTTTCAGAGCACGTTGGCGAGAGAATCGAACGATTTTCAACACTCCCAATGCACGATTGATGAACGTATCCTTGTTAAGGGACAACAAACTTCTACATACTCAGGAACGTCGTGGTTCTAGGGCAAGTGTACGCGTACCGTCGAGGCAACCCTCGATGGTCTCCTTGCGTGCACATTCGCCAAACGCCTCGCAAGGTGCGAAACACACTCAGCACTCTCAGCACAGAGTGAGCCGTACGGGTTTTTATTCATTCACTTACTAAGCAAGCAACTTGTTATTCAAGTCCAATTTCAAATAGAACAGACAACTCTTCTATCTATCCTAATATACATATATACGTGTATATACTGTGACCTCTCGAAACGAGCACGATCGAATAGATTTTTATTTCTCGACATATAAACGGAGTTGAATTTATCCTATAAAAGTAATATCCTCTTGCTTTGAAATCTACCATTATCTTTGGAGATATATTTTTTGAAAACGAGATCAATACATTTTTCCCCAATCTCATTTATCTACATTCTCTTTGTATTATCTCGTGTATATATATATATATATATATATATATATATAATATATATATATCTAAATTCAGATATCAAAGTGTAATCTCTTTGTCGAGAAAAAGTAAGATAATATCCAAGATTATCAGGTGTATTTTAGGATCACTTTGAAAACTTTGGGAAAAAGAAATTTTCGGAATTACGTAGAAACTCATAGATTCTCTTTTTGATTAATCTTCGTGAAAGATTTTTTGTTTTAGAATAAACACAACGATAAGAATAAAGGAACATTTGTCTGAACGAGTATAAATGGATGTCGAGAACCAATATCTTTTCGTGCTTTTGTCCCAAACAAAGACGTAGAACGTATCGATTTTGATTGGTCACCTCGTATGTATATATAAAAACTGAAAACTATACACATACTTGTACACACACACTATATATATATATTACATATATATATATTAAATATATATTATATATTTAATATATATTATATATATATTAAATATATATTACATATATATTACATATATATTACATATGTATATTATGAGATATATATAATACATATACATACATAGGGAGATATCTGATTATCTATATATCTGTTTTGCCTGTCTCTATGTAGAAAAGTTCTTGCCACGATCTTTAAAGAGTATCTTCTCGCGTTACTCGCATGTATAATCGCCTGCCAAGATGAAAAGCTGTTTGCCAAGTAAAGATTTGTCTCTCGAGTTTGCGAGATAATTTTAAGATGTATCATAATTTATCGATTAAGTGATAACTCTATGCTAAACAGCTATTATGTTCTTTCTCTTCGTCTCATTTGACAAAGTTCTTCTCATTCTTAATCTTTTGTAAAAAATATTCTTAGAAAAAAGAGCATATATATATAATATATAAATATATAATATATAATATATAATATATAATATATAATATATAATATATAATATATAATATATAATATATAATATATAATATATAATATATAATATATAATATATAATATATAATATATAATATATAATATATAATATATATATAATATATTATATATATAATATATAATATATATATATATATGTACATTTAATCTAAAACTTTAGCAAGATTGTACTAAGAAAAGCTATTTAAGAATTCCAATTACTCTCGTATCGGCCATTTTAGATTATAAAATTAGATATATAAAATTTAGATATTAACACAAGATACAAGATCACGATACGTGAAATTACATATAATATTGTTAATAATATTGATATTCATTATTAAGATCGTAGACGTATACTATACATATGTATACATGAACGTATATATATATCTTTAAATTAGTTTTATTATAGACGAAGATATTTCATTTGATATAGCGATTCAATTTCTCGATTAGAGTTGCTTGCTACAGTAAACCAACAAATATGTTTGCATCTATTTTTCGAATCATCAAAATCACTTTTTCTTTTCTTAACACCATAATACGATCATTATCGTTAGCTAAATTTTCTACGAATTATTTAGAGGGAATAAGAAGAAGTGTAGTTCTATTAAACTCTTCTTTTTCTCTCTGCTTTTAGAAATAGAATAGTAAATAAAAATAGAATAGTAAAGTATAAGATGTTAGACATTTTTGTCAACGATATTGCAATAGTAAAGCATGAGAGTTCGGTTCGCGTAATTAAAAACTAAGCGTTGTTCAATAGCAGTTGACAGTAGATGCTGTTAGTAATCTATTTATAATTTTAATTAACGTATTATTATTATTATTTTTAAATTGTTTTATCGTAGTTAATTGTTCTTGTACGATATCATAGAACTTCGCGATTTATTTAGCAACGTAACAATTCATTTCTATTCTAGTGGAGATACTAGTTTAGATACTGTTAACGCGTTTACATAAATCGAATGTTTTCTTTCTCGAATATATCTGATCTATAAAATACAGTACTAAAATTTATTCGAACGAATTTTATTTCCGTACGATGAGATATTTCATATTTATGAGAAATAATAAATTGAAGCTCGTCAAATCTGATAAAGGAAGCTGAAGATTCGTTCGAATACTTTTTTGAATATCACATTTCATGGAATGTCTCAAAGATACGAGATGATGAAGTGTTGTGATAAACACTTTTATGAAATAGTTTAATTTGAACAACGAATATATATAAATCGAAATCGTTTTCTTCGAAACAATCCAAGAAAAGACATGCATGTGTTCTATATAAAAAAAAAGAATATATAAAAAAAAGAAAAGAAAAGCAAGTAAGTACATAAACATTGACTAATACATCTCTTCCGCGCAGGTATTCGTGCTTAAAAGCTATTTTGGCTTTTCGTGCTGTCGCAAGAAAGCACGTGATACTTTAGCAAGAAAAAAATCTCTGTCACCAGGGTCACGTACAGGATCGCGACGTGGTAGCCGTGGTAGCAGTGGCAACGCATCGGCCGTATCAACCAAATCAAACAACAAATCTCCACCAAATAATCCTCAAAACAACGTGACGGATCCGGTCTTGGAAAACGTCACCGTTGAGATTCTCGAACCCAAAGCGTAGATCAGATCGATTGTCCTAACCCGCTTCTCTCGCTTAATCGACCATATTTCGTAGATTTTCATCGCGATAACTTTTTTTTTCATAACGACTATATAGTAAGATCATTTTCTTATCTTCTACTATCGCGAAGAAAACTTTAATCCGATTGTTCTAACAACTCGTCTCGGAGACCACATCGTTAAACTAATATTGGCAATCATTTCTTCTTCGAACTGGAAAATAAAAAAAAATAAATAGAAAAAGAGAGAAAGAGAGAGAAAGCGAGCGAGAGGGTTAATGAAATTATCAAGATTTTTATCGCTCACGCGTTTTTTCAAAGTTTCGAAAAAGCGACGAAATTTCGCACTTATTTGCTCGATGGAAAATTATATAGAGATTATCCGAAGAATTCGATCGAGCGTCCCTTATTTTGCATTTTATACTTTTTAATGAAAATGATTATATAAATATCAAGCTATATTTATGTACAAGTTTGTACATAAATGGATTAAAATATCGAGAAGAAGAAAAAAAAGAAAACAGAATTAATCGTGTATCATTTTCACATAAGAACAAAAATATTAATAAAATTTACTAAAAAAAAAAGAAAAAAGGAAAAAAGACTGTTGAACAATTCATCGGATGATCTCTGTATTCCATTGTACTTCATTTAATATTCATACACAGTAATTTTCGCGTCTATACCGAAACAAAGTTTTACTCGTGAAATCTCCATCCAAAGTGTGTGTTTAATGGTTAAAGGATAATTAATGACGACCAGGCGTGATTGTATGAAAGATAATATCGAATAAAAAATATGAGGAATTATTTAAATCCTATCCTCGTGAATAGAGCAAAAAAAAACAGAAAAAAAAAATAAGGAACGATCGAATTAAATATATTTTACATCGAATTCAATGTCACAACTCGACTGGTGTCACGAAGCCAATACGAAAGGGACCAGACGAAAGTGTTTGATTCATGATTCTGGAAATATAAATATCGAAATAATTCAAAACATTATCACATCGTAAGCACTGCAATTAGCACAACGTACGATTTCCGATACTGTTAATCTTGTCCACGATTTGATCGTATTGAAATATACGAATATTCGAATGACGTTAAGAGAGAAGAGAAAAAAGAGCTAACTATAGAAGAGCAAATAAAACTATTCTTGTAGTATTATGCCCAAACTATAAAATACATTAGAATCTTCACTTTAAAAAATTTTCAAAAAAATCTATTTATAATTGGATCATGACTTTTGATCATATACTAGTCTCGAATATTCGTTTCATTCTGATACCGGAAACCCTAATTCAATCGTACGATCAATAGAAGGTAATAAATTATCTATATGAATCGATTTAGATTTAAAAAAATATATATTATACATACGCATAGGCTTCTATATTTCGAGGTGAAGATTTTTGAGGATATTTTCCAAATGGAAATCATCTTCATAGTATTATTATAGAAATGAAATCGCAGCCGACCATACATCAGCCAACAATTTAATAAGTTTCATGTAAAAAAACAAAAAGAAAGAAAAACGAAAAATAAGACGAGAAATATATGAATATTTACGTAGATATGTATTGAGATCCTCGTTATTAAATAGTCAAAAATGAATTGCCATCTAGCAAAATTTAAAGAAAAAGTCGCGGATAATTCAAACGATCGCCTCGAAACACGCCTAGATAGAATGACCAATGGTAAATCACAACTTTATATATATAAATATATATATATATATCTTATCTATCTCTTGAATTCGCACAAGGAGATCTTTAAGAAGAAAAGATGCTTTGCAAGGATCATATTAAGACATGAAAATTATATTTCGAATTTCTTAATGACTTATAAGAATATCGTTAAATAAATAAAAGAAAGAAAAGTAAGAATCCAGTACGATTGTATCTGAGCAATTTAGTGCCTGCGTCTCGCGTATATTAATGGACTATTATAAATGAGACAAAAAGATAAATTCATATATATACATATATACATTATATGTATACATATAAAATATATATATATACATATATATATCAATATAAAGTGTATATTCATAATACATGCACACACATACACACACAAGTATAGACGCGAGCAACATAAAAGAAAAAAGACAAACGATATATGAATCGTGTAAGTACACGTTTACTTGTGTGTGCGATTTTAACAAAGCTTAAAAAACTAACACTATTCGTAGACTGTTTTTCTGAAAAACGCTCATTGACTATATCTGCTCTGTGATCCATATGCAACATATATTATCACGTTGTTCTTCATTCTCCCTCGTTACTATTATTATTATCATTATTATTATGACACGATTATTGCTAATCGCATGGAGTGAAAACTCGCTTAGATTTTTTATTCCCGCACCTGTGAAGTCTTTAATAACATTCTAGTATCTACTTTCGCATAACTTTGACTAGATTTTAAGCCTCTACTGCGCAAAGCGCTCGTAAATTATTTACATATAGAGAAAAAGGATTATAAAGAAGAAAAAGAAAGAAAATAAAACTCAGAGGGAGGGGAACAGTAAGTGTGTATGTGTGTGTGTGTGTGTGAAAGAGAGAAAGAAAGAAATTAGAATGAACGAAAAAAGGAATGAATGATAAAAGAGAGAAAGAAAAAGAGTGTATGTGTCGCATATGCGCAAATCTACGCTTCGTCTGACATTCTTAAGATTAGGATAAATAAATCGCTAAGAAAAAAGTCGATTGAATTCCGAAACGAAATTGGGGGAAGGTTTCGATTTCAGGATTTGATCGGATTATTCGGCGATATTATTAGTCCATCGTGTAAAACACATATACATATATAAAATAATACATTTTAAGTAGGTACTTTACGTTATATATATATATATATATATATATATATATATTTTATATATTTATATATTTATATATATATATATGAGTATCTATAAATAAACGCATAAAATGTAATAGCATAAAACGTTGAATATACTTTTGCTATGCAACGCGTGTGTCTCGAAGGATTCATTGATTCGAATAAGGTCAATGATATCCTTTGGTTCTTCTCAAACCGTAGAAAGATTTAACGAATAAAAACTACGAAGCTTAGCGAGCGTTTGAAATAGCTATTTATTAGAGCGAACCGATCGATCGCAAAGAATAAAATAAACCAAAAGAAAAAAAAAAAGAAAAAAAAATAGATACACGAGAAGAAGAAGAAGAAGAAGAAGAAGAAGAAGAAGAAGAAGAAAAATAAAATATCGAAGAAGTGTACTTAAGTATCCACTTATTCGCGTACACTCTTTTTGAATAATTTGTCACATATTGTAAGTGCGTCACGTTAATGCAAAGTACGATTTACGCGTAGTTTCTTTCCGCCTTTAAAGAGAGGAAGATGGTATAAAAAAAATATGGGACGTGCGAGCAAGAGTGCCTCCTCTATTTCTTACTCAAAGACACTCGCTCACTTTTCTAAAAATTCTATTTTAAGCGATCTTTCAAAAATTCGTCTCGTATTCTACAATCGCTTCTCTGCAAGTGCCATTTCGTTAAATTATAAACACCCGAAAGACGATAATTATTCTCCGGGTAAAACATTCAATAATTGTATAAGTACGCTCGACTCATTTCTACGCTTCAATGTAAAATCCTACGTCTTATGATCTTCGACGCCGGTCATCGTCAATGCGTCAAACAATACTGTAGAGATCTATTTATATGTAATGTGAATCAACGGATAAGGATCCATTTACCTTGGTATATCGATGATTATCTCAATATCCAATCCGAAATATCCAATCTCTCGTCTCCCTTGTCGTCTTAAATACTTTGCAAATATTTGATGCCAAGCATCATGTCCTCTTCCTTTCAGATTTTGAATTTTGTAGAAAACTATATCGATTACATCGATCGTGAAATATCACGAATATCGACGAAATATAATAATTTTACCTGCACGAATCTTATCTTTAAAAACATTTAATAATTATTTCGTCGTCTTTTACAAAATTCCACGACGAGAGATCCCGCGATATATCCGCATGTGATTTATATAAACATAATCAATTTTCGATGATCGTAATTGTACGTATCTCGATAAAGTTTTAAATAATCCATGAAGTTTTTGGTCTTTCTCGATCGATGAGCGCTGGTGGTGCAAATATGGGGAAGTGTTTGGACCACTTTGACGCCATCTTCGATAAGATCGATCGACTTATTCCCCGGATAATTCAAAGATATCGAAATCATTTCGAGTACCGTTTACAATCGATTGTACCTGTGACAAATCATTTCTTTTTATATTATGAGAGATAATAATATATCGACATTTACTTTGTCATAATGAAAGATTTGTAAGAATGTTTAAGGAGAAATCGCTGTACGATTTAACATCCTTCTCAATAACAACGATTATGCGGCGTATCACCGTAAAATCAAAATTAGGATGATACGCTCGAAAGGGCAGCAGCAGCAGACGATAGATTAATACAATAGCTTAATGATCGATAATCTATTGCAATAATATAATATTTAAGAAACGTTTTCCGTTTCTTCAGTAGGATCCGACAGTCGTATTTTAAGATAGCACGAGAATCGAATGAAAACGATATAAATGTCTAGCAAATCGGTACCTTTCACCGAGGACATTTTTTCTCGATCTTAATCTATTTTTCTCCTTAACTCGTCACATAATGCACTTATCACAAAAGATATATTCCTAATATCGTAATGATCAATTTCTCACTTTATTGTATCGTGTATGAAATAAGTGAAAAATATACTCGTTTTGTCTTACATTCAATAATAAGATATATATATGAAATAATTGCTTACTTTCAAAAATGGCTATACAAAAATGTATAACATCTTTGTAAGCAATAATATTATATTATTCTCTTTATAATCACTTCTGCTTACTTTCTTCTTCATCGTTTTGAAGATCGATAAGTCACGTTCATATATTTTATCACCGATATATTCGTATATGTAGATATACGCCAACGCAACTCATAATGTATAATTGTGATCCAATATAAATTTATATATATGTGGCAGGGTTGATGAAAAAAATACTATAATACACTTCAATAACGTTCACACATACATAAAATACATTGATCGAATATACGTAGGCCGCTTTTACTCGTATGTTATGATTAAGTAAGTTACTATTAAGCTCTATTACGCGTTACATCTAAGCCTCTAAAAAATTAAGAACGGTTTCTTGAATGATCATTGAAAGTAAAAAAGAAATAAAACAAGATCGAAATTATATTGTAAAAGCATAGACAATTGTTAAACGAAGGAATGTTTAACTTAGAGAAATAGAATTTAGGAACTCGATGTGGATAGGTGCGGGTAAAATTTGTGCGAATCCCTTTTCTTTTCCAAAACTTTAAATATTTTATAAAATATCACATGTAACGAAAGTAAATATCGTTACGATATGATTTGTAAACGTACTATATATATATATATATATATATTATATACTATATACTTTAATAGCGGCTTAGCGTACCTTGTAATCTTTATATTATATATTTCATTTAATATAGCTTATAACAAATAATATATAACGTATACCAAATGTATTTGAAACTTAATTATATTCTGAATTCATTTTAATAAAATCTTAATACACTGTATACATGTTGTTAATTTAAGATTTCCAATTTTGCGACAATTGTTCATACTTTTAGATCTTCTTTCTTTTCAAAGGATTATATCTTCTTTCTTCCAAATAGTATTAATAGCAATTGAAGAAATTTAAAAACATAACTTTTATATACACTTATGGTAATATATTTTATATATTATAATAATTAATTAATGTAAGTACACAAAGTTCAGAGATATATTTTATTTATAAGAATTTTTTGCTCTCCAATCTAAAAATTCATCAAACTCTGCTTCGTCACCGCTAGATGTATCACCCTCTATATTGTCCTGTTTTCTATCCGTAGCTTGAACTTGTTCCTTTCGTTTTACAAAGTCCATTACCCTTTTAAATAAGTTTTATGTAAAAATAATAAAAGAGAAGAATATTATTTTTAATGTATTCAGTATTCTTACCGTGACCAATATCGTATTTGTTCTTCTATCTCATCTATCTGCCTCTCTGTTGTTGCTTCTTCTTGATCATCAGCTATGATTTGTGCAGATTGAGCTGTTTCCTCCTTGATTTCTTTCTTAAATTTCTCCCATTCTTCCTCAATTGGATCTTTGTATTCAACATTACGTACCTAAAAAAAAAAAAGGAAAAATATAGACATTCTTTATAAAAATCATGCTTTCTGAAACTTTACTTTAGCATCCAAAATTGGATCATCAAAAAATCCTTCTGGCAAGGCTGCTTGATTTACGTCTCTTGCTTTCTCCTTTTCTTTGTCTATATCATTTTCTATATCTGTATGTATCCTATTTTCTGCGTCATTTGTTACCTCCAAAGAACTTTTTGATTCTTGTGTAATAGGCATGACTGGTGTAGAAGTGACGCATGATTGCTTAGAAGAATTATCAAAAAAATCTGCTGGTAAATTTGATTGTGCAGATGGTTTAGAAGGATTCTTGAGTATAACCTTTATTTTCTTATTTGTAATATTTCCCTCTAATGGTGAACCAGGCCTTCTTAATGTAGTTGATACATTAGTAGTTGAATGTCGTTCAATTTCTAACTTCGTTTTTTTTGCTAATATCACATTTTCTTTATGTGTTTTAGAATTGATATGAACGACCCAAACTGTTTCGTTGCGTACGATAGATTTACAGAGAATACACATTAATTGCCCTGCATCTGTATATGTGTTTACCATGGTTAAGGACATTAACAAAAAATGCTGTTTCTACATAAACAAAATAAAATATAATAACTAACTTGACCTTAATTTTAACCTAAAATAGTAATAAAAAGGATATTTTGCTAAAGGTGATTCTATCTTCTTCACTATTTCTAATTTTTTTTTATGTTCACTCATAGCCTTTCTTAAATCTTCTTGTGTCAATTTTCTTTTGATAGACATTTTGACAATTTTTCAACGCACTACGTAACACTGATTAGAATTGTTAATCAAAAACTTTTCAGGTTATGTTTTGTCACGATCATGATCCAGTAATAACTTGTAACGAAACGTACATACAAGTACATGCGCAATATAGGAAACTATCAGCTGAGATCTATCTGGTATAATTTTATGCACATTTATAATATAGAACACAATTAAACAAATTATTGATTAACTTACACTTTTATCGATGCATTTTATGAAATTAACATCAATGTTTAAAACAAATGAAAACATTCATGTCTTTAATTAAAGTAAACATTAACCTTTTTGAAAGAATAATATCATCTCTCTTTATTTACTTAAAGTAGAAGAAATTTTTTTGAAACATTAACAACAAAAAAATAACATTAAAAATGAGTAATTTTTATCTTTTGGAACTTAACATGCTAAATGAAAATATAAAAACTACATCTTCACGTATAATGACGTATAAGACATATAAAGACACTCGTTTTGATGTAACTAAAAGCGTTTTTTTAGCAACGATGACAGATCCACTGATAGGTATAAAAGAAAGTACTACTGAAAAAACGATAGCATATGCTGATCCATTCAAGAAGGGTGGTCCTTGTGATGATTGCATTTCAAGACTTTCAAATGATCAATTGATATCATTGATTATTAAATGTACTGATTTTGCTGCAAAAAAACATAGTACTCAGAGAAGAAAAGATCCTGCACAAACACCTTATATAAATCATCCCATAGGTTTGATATAGCAAATATAATTAGTAAATAAATGAAATACCTATTATGCATTTAAAAATTATTATTTTAGGAGTTGCAAACATTTTAGTTCAAGAAGGCGAAATATATGACCCTGTTGTAATTTTAGCTGCACTTCTACATGATACTGTAGAAGATACAGATACTAATTTTGATGAGATAGAACTAGAATTTGGATATACAGTGAGTCAAGTTGTTCAAGAAGTAACTGATGATAAAACTCTGCCTAAAGAAGAACGTAAACGTTTGCAAATAGAAAATGCACCTAAAAGAAGTCATAGAGCTAAGTTAGTATTATTAGCAGATAAATTATATAATTTACGAGATCTTCAAAAGAGTACTCCAATTTGCTGGACACCTGAAAGAGTAAGGGAATACTTTAAGGTAAATTTTATCCTCAACAAAGCCTTTATTATTAACTAATGATATATAAGAAAATTAATTTTTAAGTATATTTAAATTACAGTGGGCTAAAGCTGTTGTAGATAGAATCCGCAGAACTAATTCTAATTTGGAGACTGCATTAGATAGAGTATTTGCAAAACAAAGAATTGAAACTGAAACAAAATGTAAATGTGTAAAAGATAATTCACAAAATGTTTGTAATAGTGAAAATATAAATTAATTCTTATTGATTTTATGAAAGATATTATCGATTTTACAAAACATATACATTAGCCTTGTATTTACAAATAATACAGACCAATAAAATCGATATTGAAAAGCTGCAAAAAAGTTTAATAACATCGATGATGAAAGTTTTTACTTCTTGGTATGCTGCTTATGAAACCATTTCATATATTCTGCTAATACTTCAACTTCATCTTCTCGAATTGCGTTATATAATGAAGCACGTATACCGCCAACAGACCTATAATATATTTGTAATAGAACACTTGAGTAAATTTTTACATTTCTCATACTGGTATCATTTTTCATTAGTTCAGAAATAAAACAATGTTTCTTTAATGTATTCTATTGACCTGTGACCCTTTAATTGAAGCATTCCACGACTGACTGCACCAGAAAGGAATTCTTTTTCTAGCTCCTCATCATTGTCTCTTATTCTAAATGGAATATTCATTTTACTGCGTGCATTTATATCGATCGGACATTTATAAAATCCATCAGAATTATCAATTATATTATATATCTTTTGACTCTTTTTAATTGCATTTTGTTCCATAGTTTCAACGCCTCCGCGTTCTTTTATCCAGTTAAATACTCGATTGACAAAATATATTCTAAAATAAATATAAAGAAATAATGGATAAAACGAATGATGTGATTATTTAAAAAAAATTTTTTAATTATATTTACTGGAAAAGAGGCGGAGTATTGTGTAAGGAATTATCGTTTGCCATGACGGTGAAATTTAAAATTGTGGGACAAACTGACATGGCATGACCGAGAAGATCATCTCGTACAATTACTAAAGTAACGCCAGCTGGTCCGATATTCTTCTGTGCGCCAGCAAAGATTAGTCCAAACTATAATAAATTTTATATATCCAATGATACTGTAATTATTAAAGAAAAAGAAAAAAAAAACATTGTTTTATATACTTTCGAAATATCTAAGGGTTTCGTTAATATGTTCGACGACATATCGGCAATCAGCGGTACTTCATTTGTTTCCGGAATATAATTCCATTCGACACCTAAAATTATATAGAAATATCATTATGTATATGTAAAAAAAAAGAAAAAAGAAAAAGTATTTGCTCATGTTTGTTCAATTTCCATCAGAGTTACCATGAATAGTCTCATTAGCGCAATAATAAAGGTAAGATGTTTTCGAATCCAAATTCCATGTACTTTGATCCGGTATTCCTGTATATTTTGCTTCTTTTGGTAAAACCATATTAACTTTTCCATATTTACTTGCTTCTTTCGCTGCTTTGGCTGACCATGATCCTAAAAATATTATAATATATATTTTATTTTATTTTTCTGTACGAAGAATTACATAATAAATTTTTAATACATTGCACATATTTACCAGTAACGATGTAATCCGCCGCACCGGTAGTCATTAAATTTAATGGAATAGCTGCAAACAATCCTGTGCCCCCTCCTTGCATAAACAAAATCTTATAATTATCTGGTATATTTCTGTGAAATGACAAATACAATAATACCAATGTAATATATATTTTTCTAATAATGCGATAAAAATGAAAATTATTTTTCGAACTTACAATAAATCTCGCAAAACATTTTGCGCATCATTGATGATCTTTTCGAAATCTTTCGAACGGTGACTTAACTCGACTATACTTATTCCACTACCCGCAAATGAAAGCAACTCTTCCTGTACTTCTCTCAATACCTACAAATCATACGTTTACCATATATACGATACGATCTATGGTCCAATGAACTCTTGTGACCTACATATAAGATGTCTATGAAATTATCGAATTCTTTGCGCATTATACTTAATGATAAAATTATGTTGTTAATATTATTAAAAAATGAAATTTTCTCTCTCTCTCTCTTTCTCTCCATATATATATGTATATATATATATATATATATATATATATATATATATATATATATATATACATATATATGTATGCATGTATATATGTATGTATGTGTATATATATATATATATATATATATATATATAGTATTTTTGAAATCTTTATTAACAGTTAAAAATTTTCGTAATACATCTACCGATACTTTCAAAATATCTCAATGTCATTTCACTTGAATAAATATAAAGAATAAATACAAAGAATATTGGTTGAATATATCGAAATTATATAAAAATCATTTGATATCTATATGGTATATACTGACATATTTAAAAATAAAACTAACAGTATATAGATCATTGATCTAGATCTTAAAGCATTAATAATCAAAAAAAAAAAGAAATAGATCTTTTTTTGAAGATACCTCTTCTGGTAGTTTTCCCGGTCCTGCGCCGAAATTGATAACATGTTCCTTTTTATCGTGTTGTTGATCAACCATTCTGAAGACGTAAGAAAACACTTGAATCGATCGATGTTCGTTAATCAACTGGCTTTTAAAGTAAAAACTGGAAATATAGTCGCGTTTGTAAGCTTATCGTTCTAAAATGATATCGAATGGAGGGGATTATCGCTTCAATGTATACAATTTTGTACTCTTCATTTCCACGACCTTTCGCTTGGGTACTTGTTCACTGAACCGGTTCTTGTTTCTATATTTTCTTTTGTAGAAATCAATCTGCTATTTTTTCAAGCGAATATATATACGTTATAACTGAACAACGTTGATTTAACTACCTGTTGAGTATAATGGTGGATTCGTATCACTTCGTCTATCTTCGTCAAATTCATATCACCGAATATAAAACCGCGAAAAACAAAACTATATATCATACTTTTCATCAAATAACTAATAAAATTTTTCATAGGAACAAATATACGCGAAGAATTTAGGACAAAAGGAACAAGAAAAAATTAGCAATGATAGTAATAAATAGTACTAACTAAAGTTTAATATCAAGCTCATTGTAACAATCATCTTTGTTTTACGGTCAATCGAGATTAAATTCTTGATAATCTTTAACCTGAGTATATAAGTATACGTGTATTAATTTCTGGTTTAATCCGGTATTAATAATTTCACATTCCGGTTTTTATTTAAGAGCTGTCTTAAATGAATGATAACACATTGTTGTATTCTCAATTAATCATATGATTAGCAGATAATATATTGGTACTATTTTCGGTTAATCATATGATTAACAGGTAATATATTGTCAATAAATAATTCTTATCGTTGTTATTTTAATTTATCATATTGACAATATATTAGCGTAACATACAAATAGGTAAATAAAATGATAATTCTCACTTGATATGATCATTAGAATTTTTATTTAATCTTACCGTAATAGAATAATAAGAATGAATTGAGATTCACTTCTTTTTTGGCGATCGTTATATTACAAAATAATATATAGGATCTATATTTTTCTTCATTGTACATATTTGTTACTTTATTTCTTAATTATCCCTATCATTAAAATATCGCACTTACATAATATTTCCATATATATGATATAAATGGAAAGATATAAAACACGTGGAAAAGAGATCATTATGCTTCATTAATACTCCTGATTAGATTATCGATTATTTTACATTAATTATTTTACATTTGCATTTATTTTTAATTTTTAATAAATTCTTTGCAATAATCAATAAATAATATATTAATTATTTATCTTTTCATATGTTCGTAACACATAAAGTGTCGATAAATTAGTTAACAGTCGATAAAAATCTTGATTCACCAGTTTTGAGCGTGTGAATATATGTATATATAATTAACACATGCTATTACTTTATCAGCTGTTCGCTGAAGAAACATAACCTTCTTAACAAATTTGTACAAATTTAGTGAAAAAATGCTTAGTAGCAAAGTTTTGAACAATATGGCGCAAAATGTTCGAATTATAATTGATCTGAAAGAATTGAACAAAACTAATAGGTAGTTAATAAAGTATAAAGTGATATTGATTAATTTAACATAACTTTTTCAAAGCTTGCATTTTTCTTATATAGTCTTTTCATAGATTGCATACGTTTGTTTTCGGAGAAAAAAACAAATGAAAAAGTGGAAAGTGAAAGGATTAAAGAATTTAGGAAAAAATTACGTACACCTATAGGTTATTAATACTTAATGAAATAAAAAGAATACATAGTATCAATGTACTATAATATATTAATAAAATATATTCTTATTATATTTAATAGATAAATTACCAGAATTTGATGAAGGGAAGCATCCATATCAAGAAAAAGAACCTTTGAAATCATTTCCAGATAATACAAATCCAAAAACAGGTGAAATTAATGGACCTCGTGGACCAGAACCAACTCGTTATGGAGATTGGGAAAGAAAAGGACGTGTGACAGACTTTTAGATATTCATTCAATACAACTATCACAATAATTATTTTTGAAAAACTATATTAATTATGTATCATTAGTAATATTTCCATTATAATGTTATTGTGTAAATTGTAAATATAAGTTATGCATAGTAAAATGTTAATACAATAGAACTTTATCAATACTTTTTTAGAGTAATACGAATTATATATAGTATATAGAGAAAAATAGCTTTAATTATCTACAAATTACTTGCTAATTTACAAAAGCATATTATTTATTGTTTGTTTTAGACAAAATATTTATATTGAATATAATAAAGAGATATATATTGAAAATATCAATTTCTTTTGAAAAAACTATTAAATTTTTTAAGGAACGCTATACTCGCTATTCAATTATTAATCAATGAAATTAGCTTCATTTAATTTTCATGTATCTATTAATGATAATTTAAAAAAAATAAAATTTAGTAAAATAATAAATTATATGTTTAAAATGATATTGTTGTAAAAAGAATTTTAATCATAATCTACTTTCAAAGGATATAATTTGCACTTTAAATAAAACAAATAAAATTTAGAATCATGGGAAAATCGATGTTCTTATTGGTTGGAAGCTTGCTTCGAGGAACGAAACATCTTGATTGGTCCGTATTTCTGTCTAATTTCGAAACGCACCTAGCAACTAACTTCGCATCATCTACGTATAACGAAAGCTACGATAAAACCATCGATACAACGGCCGGTTCGTTGTTCTTGGTTTTGTTCCTTCTTCTTTTCCGAACGACATCATTGTTAAGAGGTACGTGATTATAATTTAATAAGTCTTTTTTTCCTTATAAACGCATGTTATTATTGCAATATTACTTTTATTCTATATATACAATTTATTTTAGCATTCTTAAATAGATATAACGCCGCAAATTTTAGATTGGAGGTCATCCCATGTGCATGTCTATGTCTTTGCATTATAATTGTTAATCTTTCTTCAATTTTTTATATAATCTCATAAATTTTCTTTATGAAAAATTGGTTTTTTACGATATTTCATTTCTACCTGTTGTTTTAATCTTATTTTATAATGATAAATTTTTACGTTTTATGATGTAAGCGTATATCCCAACAAATAACCTTTTAGTATTGTGAACATGGTGAGTTAAATGTCAATCTTAATTCGCATGTATTCTAATTTGCAATGAAATAACTTTTAAAGGGTATTATTTTTTAAATCGTTTAATATTTATTTGAGAAATAGTCAATTGTTATAATAAAACAAGGTACTTATATTTTTAAAAAGTGATGTATTAATTGAAAGTTTTATTGTACTATAACATTGAATTTGTTAAAGTTACACACAGCATATCTGATAATATCACTGCTTAACAAAATTTTGTAGAAATTTATGTTTTGATATTGATAGCATGTACATTACTTTTATTTGAACCCCAGCCTTTTGTGTTTAATAAGATACCGTATCAGTTTTATATGTTCTCATTCTTCTTTTCATAAAAAATTAAACTAAAAGTAATCTAATTGAGAATTTATAATGTTTTATTTCTAAAATATATGTAAAATTATATATCTACAAAGATATAATTTTAATTACACGATAAGATCTGTTGAACAAACAAATCATATAGATTTTAAGAAGTCTCTGTAGTTTTAATTGCATTATTTTTAATATCTTTCATGGAAAATAAATCTGGATTATAGTACTATGACCACTGATCCAGAACGTGCCGGAGATACTACTGATACGGAATCTGTTGAAGATGAAGATGAACGCAACACTTCAGAGTTAGATCCCCAAATATTTAGTAGACCTGACGGATTAGATGCTCTGCAAGATCTCGTTTGTGCACCTGGAATAGAGGTATTCCAAAATTATATTGTCAGTTCCAAACATTTATTATAGTTTTAGAAAAAAAAGATATATATTAGTATATGTTATTTTGCTATTTTAAAAATCAATTTTTTTTTTTTAATGGCTGGTTGTTTTGGTATATTTACCATGTTTATTAAACAATTGCTACTTATGCATGTAATTAATATAAATATTTTTTTATGAACAAATAAATAAATAATATAATTCTGTTATAGGAATCTAAGCAACTTACGAGTAATTTTATACAAAATTATGTAATTTTACATGTTATCATAATATACGTAGATAATTGTATTACTGATAAGAAAGAAATTTCTTCACTTATAGTATATAGTAGTTTTAAAAATAACAGAGTAATAATTTAAAAAGTACATACATATTAACACACACAATAAGATCTATAAGTTTGAATATAAATGTATATTTAAAAATTAACAAAAAATTTCTGTCCTTGTTTTAATTGTAGAAAATGATAATTAATTAAATTTAAAAATTACTTAATCATGAAATTACTTAATATCTTTAATTATGATTTGAAATACTCTCTTCAATGAATCATGTTATTCTATCAAAAAATATTATCTTAATTTTTAGCAAATGCAGTCGCTACCAGCACCTATTAAACGTAGAATTAAGGCTCTCAAACAACTGCAACTGGTCACTACTAATATTGAAGCCAAATTTTATGAAGAAGTACACGCTTTAGAATGTGCTTATTACAATATGTGTGCACCATTATATGAGAAAAGAAGTCTAATAGTTTCTGGTTCGTATGAACCAACAGATGAGCAATGTGTTTGGGAAAGTGATGAAGATGAAGAAGCCTTGTCAAATGAGTTAAAATTGAAAGCAAATCTTGAAGATTCTCAGGAAAAAAAAGAGGAGTATGTTTTTATTTATATATTGTATAATTTAATAAAATATCTAATTATAATAATGGATTTTATATGGGAATTTATTAAAATTACTTTGTGTTAGAGCTGAGAATGAAGATATTAAAGGAATACCTGCATTTTGGTTAACGATATTTAAAAATGTTGGAATGTTGGCTGATATGGTTCAAGAACATGATGAACCAATTTTAACACATTTATATGACATTAAAGTAAAATTTCTAAAATCTAATCCAATGGTAAGTAATATAAATAACAATATTTTACATTATATTAATATGTTACTAATAACACTATATTAGCATGCACGTTATATTAATGTTACTAATAACACTTAAAATCTATTATTTAGAGTTTATTATATTAAAATCTATGTTTTAGGGTTTTGTTCTCGAATTCTATTTTGAACCAAATGAATATTTTACTAATTCTGTTCTTACTAAAGAATATATAATGAGATGTGTACCAGAAAAAAATGATCCATTCAGTTTTGAAGGACCTGAAATATACAAAAGCAAGGTAACAATTATTAGATTAAATGTAATATTATTAATTAATTTATAGGGGAGAAAGTTTGATTTAATATAAAAAGTATATCGGGTATATTTTGTTGTAGAAAGTAATATATTTTTGTATACCAAAACTAATGTATGTTTATCATGTTTAGGGTTGTGTAATTGATTGGAAAAAAGGAAAGAATGTAACAGTCAAAACAATAAAAAAGAATCAAAAGCATAAATCTCGAGGTTCTATGCGTACAGTAACAAAAACTGTTCAAAATGATTCATTCTTCAATTTCTTTAGTCCACCAGTTGGTAAGTAAACATTTGTTATTGATATGGTAATGATATAATTTTTTTAAATAATTGAATATTTCAGTGCCAGATGATGCAGAAGCGGAGTTAGATGATGAAACTCAAGCTTTGGTTACAAGTGATTTTGAAATTGGACATTATATTAGAGAACGTATAGTTCCCAGAGCTGTACTGTACTATACAGGTAATTTAGTTAAGCATACATATATATTATATATTAATATATTTTATATAACTATTATACATACATATAATTTATTTTCATTATTTTTAGGTGAAGGATTAGAAGATGATGAAGATTATGAAGATGAAGAAGAGGAAGATGATGATGATGATGTTGTAACTACAGAAGAAGAAGATGAAGAATCTTCTCCAACCAATGCGCCTTCAGGTGGGAAACAACAAGGCGATGATCCTAATGAATGTAAACAACAGTAGAATCTCGTATGAATTACGATAAAAATGAAAAAAAAATCATTCGTGCGTTACAGTAAGCAAGAACATACTAACAAAACCTGACCGATAACTGCCTAGATATCCTGCGCCTTTGGCTCCAACATAATCCTCTTTGTATGAACCATCTAATCATATCATATCTCCTATTCCAGATCAAGCCTAGACTCTTCAACATACCAGTGACAAAATTATGCGTATCCCCCCTCTAAATCAACGTTAATAATGAATAGTATATGGCTATTTACTGCTAAGACCTAATGATGTCATAAGTGTAACAGTTATGCTCTCAATATGATTATTGTCATTTTTAATTACTGCGTTTTATACTGTTGTTACGTTTATATATGCAGGCAAAAGGCTGGTTAAATTTTTTTCCAGACGCGTTGATCTATGAACAAATTTTGGGTACTGTTGAAGCATTTTTAATACAAAAGTAAAAAAAACTATACATAGATCTCATTTATTTTAATCTACCAACATTTTTATTGAATTCTTTAAAGATTGTTTTGAAACAAAAAAGAAAAAAAGAAATATAAACCATATGATATTGAAATAAAACATTAATATTATTTTAATGAAATATATATGGTAGTAATTTTATGTTGATGCTTTTGCTTTAATTGTTTTGCATAATGTATCAGTGTTTCCAAACACATACCTCAACACGTATGGTAAGTAATATTCTGTATACCATACAATATATTAAACAGTAAACATATACCTACATACATTACAAATTTATTTATATGCTTCTAAATATTATTGTGTAAAGACTGTACATAAAAAACATTACTTCCTTTGTAATACAGAACTGTGTTGGGTAAAATAGAAATATTTTTTACTTACATATAATATTAATTATTTTCATGACCTTACTGAATATTTAATGTGTTTTTAGCGACATCTTCTGAATATGTTGACAATTCGAAGGTCAATGGCATTTGTGGGCTAACAGTTTGATAAGAAAAGTTCGCTGATAATGGCTTGATACTTAATTATAAAAGTCTAATTTTTTTTTATTACACTGGGTTCGTCAGTTTCGTACATATCTTTTCTTGAGTATCAAAAATGGATAACAATAAATTGATACTGAAACAATTTCACAATTGTAACATTCTACGGGATGGCAAGATTATAAATGAAGATTTATGGGTTCGTGATGGAAAAATTATAAATCCTGAAAAGATTTTTTATGATGAAAAAATTTTACCTGATTGTAGAATAGATTGTCAAGGCGCACTAATTTCACCAGGTTACATAGATTTACAAATCAACGGTACTTTAAGATAACATATCTATATTTTTGCAATATGTGATATCTGTTATTTTTTATGTCGATTCAATTATTTTTATCGTTATTATTACTTCTTTGTAAATAATTTTAACCTTGTAATAATCATTAAATAACATTAAACATTAATTTTAGACATGTTTTTAATATTTTATTATAATAATGATATAAATTATTATGATATAAAATTATGATTAAAATGATATAATTATTATGATATAAATAAATGTTATAAACTAGAGGTTATACATAATTATCTGGTGAAAGACATAAAGGACAGAAATATGAATACCAAGTAAAACAATCTTCTAAAAATATCAAAGAGATTTAAAAAATTCAACAGATATATAACAGCACATAAAATTGTTATACAAATTATATGCTATAAACAATTTTTATTGGTAATCACAAATTTATTTAGTACTTTTATTAAATAGGTGGTTTTGGTATAGATTTTTCACATAATATCGAGAACGTCGAAGAAGGTATAAATAAGATAGCAAAAAATTTATTAGCATATGGTGTTACATCATTTTGTCCTACATTAGTTACATCTCCTAGTGATACATATTACAAAGTACTGTCAAAGATAAAAAAACAAAACGGTGGTAATCACGGAGCAACTATATTAGGTGTTCATTTAGAAGGTCCATTTATAAGTCTTGATAAAAAAGGTGCTCATCCTGCAAAATATATTAAAAATTTTGAACATGTGAGTAATAAAAATAAATTCTAATAATTTTTTGAAAAATTAGATTTATTCATTAAATAATTTTTATATTGCAGGGATTTAAATCATTAATTGATATGTATGGCATTTTGGATAATGTTTGTCTTCTTACATTAGCTCCAGAAATTCCAAATGCCATGTCTGTAATCAATGAATTATGCAAAAGAAATATTAAAGTTTCAGTAGGTAAGTTTATTGAAGTATCTTGTACTCTATTTGAATTTATTTTACATTACACATATTTCTCTTTCTTTATTTATTTTAGTGGTTTTGATATTATCATTGTAGGACATTCTATTGCCAGTTTAAATGAAGGAGAGGCAGCAGTAAAACATGGAGCCACGTTTATTACACATCTTTTCAATGCAATGTTACCAGTAAATATACTAAATTTAATGTATAACATAATATTATTTAATAATCTGTTTTATATCTTATAGTTCCACCATCGTGATCCAGGATTAGTTGGCTTATTGACATCCGATCAAATACCACCTGGAAAGATTGTTCATTTTGGCATCATAGCTGATGGTGTTCATACTCACCCTGCAGCATTAAGAATTGCACATAGAACACATCCTGAAGGTTAATAAAATTTTATATTTTATTTTAATTTCCTTATGTTCTTTTTTATTACACTATATTAAAATCTATCATATAACAATAAAAGGACTCGTCCTTGTAACTGATGCAATATCAGCATTGGGTTTGAAAGAAGGTGTACATCAATTAGGCCAGCTTGATATAGAAGTACGTAAAGGGCGTGCCTATATTGCTGGTACAAATACTCTTTGTGGCAGTGTGGCTGAAATGTCTGAATGTGTACGTATTTTTAAGGAAGCAACAGGTAATTACATTATTTCTTACAAAATGAGTAATATCATCAAAATCATAAGTACATTAATTTAATTCTATTATGTTTTAATGTATAGGCTGCTCAGTAGTTGAAGCCTTAGAAGCTGCAACCTTGCATCCAGCAAGAGCACTAAAAATTGAATCTAAAAAAGGTGTATTAAATTTTGGTGCTGATGCTGATTTTGTTTTACTAGATGATAATCTAGAACTCCTATCTACATGGATATCAGGAGATTGTGTTTATACTAAATGCAAATGTACCTTGCAGTCTTCATGAAAAATTTTGTCAGTATGAGAATATTAATATTATGAAACAGACAATATTTTGATTTTTAAATAATAATTTATTGTATTACTTAATGGCTATGAATTTTACGCCTATTATGTTAAAGTGAATGTATTTGCACAGGTTACATTTATTTCATTGCATATTATATATTTTATATATTACTTTTTTATTTCTTGATATTAATCTTATGAATTGTATAATATCTATTAATCTTGATTTTTTTAATCTATGCTGTCGCATACAAAGTCTGCATAAACATAATATTTTATGATTATATTGTTGTGCAGTTTGTATTTTTTAAAATCTTAATATGCAATGTAAATATAATAAATATTTACATTTTATACAAGATAAATTTTAATATACAATATAAATAATACAACTGAAATAATTATTTACAATTTATATTACTTTATTTGTAAAACAGCATATATATATTAACTACAGTACAGTTATATGTATGATGATTATTTGTTACTTTAATTTGATATAAATATAGAAATTAATTTTAAAAAGAGAATATTGTCTGCATAATGTATATGTGAGAATGTTAATTGAAATAAGAATAAATATATTTTTATAATTTGTCAAAAAACTTAAATGGTAATATAATAAAGAAAACAAAAAGTTATAAAAGATTATTTCCTAATATACCTTATGATGTATATAATTTTAAACATTGTTGAGTTAGGCTAAAATATTTTTTATACGAAAATTATTCTGTAATTCATGAAACATCTAGGGAATATATATGTGTATGTAATAAAACTATTTTTATAGTTTAAAAATGAGATAATACGTGCATCGTTTGAATTATAATCAATAAACAACATCTTTCAAGTTGCAAATATATGGTGAATGTCTAATACCAAAAGTATGAGCTGGAGGAACATCTAAAAGAACCTGAAATAATATTACTGTTATATAAATTTTCATTTTTAATATTCTATAAATTATATTATTATACTTTAGATAGAATATCTATATACCTTTTCTGGACAATGTGCACCAGGACCAGGAATTTTAGAATTATCACTTGGTAACTCAAATCGTGCACTTATGCTGTAAGCTGGACTTTTGATTCTAACTGCATCTGGTTTTGTAGTTTCATATGCACCGGGACCAGGGACTAAAATTCTTTCATCTGCGAAAGTCTTTTGTCTACCAGAAATTGAATATGCAGGTGCTGTCTTCTTATTTCCTTCTTTTGTTGCACCAAGGACAGAAGGTATGTTATATACATTAGGTGCTATGAGTAAAAGAAAATAAATGATATGCAAAATTAGTTCATTATATAAGAAATTAACATATAAGAAATCTGAGAAAAACAAAGATTATTTATATAGAAAAATCGACTTATGCTGATCGTTAAAATATATTTATTACATTTCACTTATTGAATAGATTTTATAGAAGATTAATATCGTTTTGATTATAAATTTTTATTATTTTTTATTATTTTCTATCAACAACTACTACAGAGTGCAAATACATAATGCATGCTATACTTAAGTGTGATATACAGCACTTACATTTGTTAAATTAAACTATTAAGATAAGCAGGTATTTCTAATTACCTGGAGTATCATTTAATCTGCTTATTGGAGCTCTAAGACCAAAAGTGAATTGTAGAGCTTTTTCTAGCAAAAGCATGGCTTTCTCTGGACTGTATTCACCAGGTCCTTCAAATAAAAATATTAAGCAAAAATTCTACATGTGTCTACTGACTATTTTTAAATATATTTTTTCTTACCTGGAATAATATCTGTTTGGTGTACTTCAGTTCTTAATCCAAAACTATATTGAGGAGATTTATTCAAATTTACCTTTTCAGGATTATATGAGCCAGGTGCTAAATAAGAAGTGGGAACAATATAATAATTATGTAGATATATAAAATTCGAATTTTCAAACCTTTTAATGGATTTTAATATCAGTTAGATTTTTAATAATATTGCTTAAATTAAAAATTACAAATATTTATTATTGAAAAACTTGTTTCCCACCTGGTACATCATTGAGCTTTTCGAGAGGTGGTTTTACACCAAAACTAAATTGAGGAGCTTTATTTAATTGAACTTTTTCTGGGCAATAGGTTCCAGGTGCTGTAAGATATAAAGAAAGATATTATTTCAGCGTGTTTCAGAAAATCATTTCATCAATATCACATAAAAACATAGAAATAAGATAGTATATTATTGACGGATAAATATAATTAAGTTTAATTAATAAGTCTTAATTCTAGATAATCAATTTACAATAACAAATGTCAATTTACAATAACAAAAATTTGTAATAGCACATCGTTTATAAACATCATATAGTAGCATAATCTTAGAACAAAAATTTTATATCATTATTAGGATTAAACATTTTTTTATCGAAAACTTACTTTACTTTCATGTGTCAGATTTTGCATTACGCATTATGTATTACACACATTTTGCATTACATATGACCTATTAAATACAGCGATTTGAAATTATATGCGATTGAAATGAAATAAAAAACTTTTTGAACGTGCACCTCTGGAAATAGATTACACCTTTTATATCTTTGAATAAAAAATAGTCTACGTCTATACGCAATGGCTAATTCAGTGTACTAATTATACACTTCAGTTCATAATTATATCTTATCTTTCATAAAATGTTAACAAAAAAAAAATGATGTATGTTTGTAGAATGAAGGTTAAAAAATTACACTAACATATAATTGATTGATTAGTATATAATTATTTGTAACATAATTAAAGAATTATTCCATATAAATATTATATAAATTTTGCATAAGGATAAGGGTTTTTTTTTTAAGTAATATCAAAGCATTAGAGCAATTGGGTAATCCACACCGTTACCTGGTGTATCTTTAGGTTTATCCAAAGGTGTTCTACTACCAAAACAGAAATAAGGTTTATGTTGAAGATTTACTTTCTCTGGATGGTAATCGGCAGGGCCTATTAAGTCAATGATGATATTAATATTGTCTTTTAATTAAAGTGTTAATTCGGTCATAGTTAAACAGGGAAAAAAAGAAAAAAGGATAAATATTAATAAAAAATATAATTACCTGGATTATCATTTAATTTTTGAGACATTCCTTTTCTGGAGATAGTAAATTGTGGTCCTCTGGCTAAATTTACTTTTTCAGGACTGTATGCTCCTGGTGCTATCAAAAGAACATAAGTTATTATTTATATTTTATCATCAATGCATAAAATCTATAAAAATATAAAATTAAAATAACCAGGAACATCATTTGGTTTTTCAGATAGGCCTTTTCCACTTAAACTGTATTCAGGACCTTTGTTCAAGTTGACTTTCTCAGGAGCATAAGTTCCAGGAGCTGTAATATAAATAAAATACAATAATCTTTATTTATATTATTTTATAATATTTTTATAACATACCAGGTGTGTTATTCGGTTTTTCTAGCGAAGTTCTTAGACCAAAACTATATTGCGGTGCTTTGTCTAAATTCACTTTTTCTGGAGAATAAGTGCCAGGAGCTACATAACAATTAATATATGTATATATAAAAAATTATTTATAATATATCAGTAGATTTATTAAGTATCTGTGTGGATAATGAACGATATACATCTTAAAATTAAATTACAAAATATTTTGTTATATTTTTGTTTATACATTAAATTTATATACCAAAATTATGCATGATACCTGGAATATCATCAATTTTTTCAGCAGGACCTTTCCCACTCAAACTATATTGTGGTCCTTTATCTAAGTTTACCTTTTCAGGACTATAAGTGCCAGGTGCTATAAAAATTAAAACAATGACACGTCTCATATTACAAATTAAAGTTATTGTAAAAAAAGATCACAGTATAGTTACCTGGTGTATCACTAATTTTATCAAGAGATGTCCGTATTCCAAAACTAAACTGAGGAGCATGATCTAATTTAACTTTTTCGGGACAGTATGTACCTGGTGCTATAATAGATATTATACTCATTTCATTACAATAATTATATTCATCACGAAATATAATTTTTCTGCAGATATTTAGATGTCAACATACCAGGAGTATCACTAGGTTTTTCATCAGGGCCTTTGCCAGTTAGACTATACTGAGGGCCTTTTTCCAAATTAACTTTTTCTGGACTGTACGTGCCTGGTGCTAAAAATTGGAATTGCATGTATTATAAATTATAATGTATATATATATATATATTCTATATATTATACAATTATAGAATTTCTACCTGGTGTATCCCTAATTTTATCTAACGGTCTTTTAATACCGAAACTAAATTGTGGAGCAAAATCCAGTTTAACATTTTCAGGGCGATAAGTATCAGGTGCTATAAATATTTATATTTTGTATATATATTAGAAAATTAAAAAAGCTAATCAAATATTTATAGAAAATCATAATATACCTGGAGTATCGACCGGTTTTTCTTCATGACCCTTTCCAGTTAAACTGTATCGAGGACTTTTAGATAAGTTTACTTTTTCTGGACTATATGTTCCTGGAGCTATTAGGAAAAAGTCCATATAATTATGACATTATCTAATCGATATAATAATCAGCTATATATTTTACCTGGTGTATCATTTAATTTATCGAGCGGAGTCCTCAATCCAAAACTATATTGAGGTGCACTGTTCAATTTTACTTTTTCGGGGCAATAGGCACCAGGAGCTGGGTATATTAAAATTGAATCATCTTTTAGCATTCATTTACTTTTTTTGCAATTTTTTCATAACTAAATAATAACTTACTTTATATTACTATTATTATTATTATTACTATTATTATTATTATTATTATTATTATTATTATTATTATTATTAATTAATTAATTAATTAATTAATTAATTAATTAATTAAATGTTACTTTTATATTGATTTCTTCGAATCTATGTATTTATTTATGAAACGTTGATGATAACTTTTCAAATAATTATGTTTTTAACTAATATATAGTTTTACTCATGCATTATTTTTTTTATAGCGGCTATAATTAATTGAAAGTTACGAAGTATATTATTTCAAGA